ATCACTATCAGCGTTACATTAAAGTCAGTAAAAACAATGTTTAGATACCATTCCATTGGGAATTTCTGATGACAGCTATGTCTTAACATAGGATAAACGCGGTATATTCCGACACATTAAGGATGCATCAAGAAATGAAAAACTATAAAAAAATAACCGTATGCGTTACTCGAGTTTTGTTTGCTTTATGTGACTTGCAACCACACTCAGGATGATGTATGTTTTCGGTGAATTTTCCCGCGCATTTTCACTTTTTTAAGCTATTGCTGTGCACAGTTGGCGCAATGTATTGAAAATTGATTATCTTCGCGCACGTGTTCGCGCAATCCCAGCCATCTTTATTTTAGAAGAAATTTTCTCCAAAGTCATATGGCAACACTGAACACCGTCTGTTTACATTTCGTATGTATAACAGCCGCAGTTTACGATTACCGTACGTTCCGTATCCAACAAGGCGGACAACCGGAAGAGTCAGAAGTAACCCGGACATGTCTTACATTTTATTATTGTCAGTTCGAGTGTTCGACTCACGTAGTCAATATACTCGCGTATATTGTCGACTAAAATAGAACTATTTTAGCTTTCTAAAGTACGGCGCACGGCACATTTTTTTACCAATGTAGTACGGCGCACCGCGCAGGTTGTTAAAATGACAAAATAAATTCCCGCGCACCTGGCACATCTTCCTGACCATGGACTTGCAAAACACCATACTACGCGCTAGCAACAATGAAACGTCACAAAATCTTGCCATATTTATTTAAAAGCCTTTAGAATGCAAACCTACCAAATCCCTATATTCCGACACTGTGTGTGGCAATATTCGGCACGTGGTGAGGCGTAATCCATCCGCGCTTCAAATTCTACTGATACGTAATGCCGTCATCCACGTGTTCAAATTCCGTTCGCTCTGTGAGCTGTATTGGAATACAACACGGCTTTGAATTAGAACACTAATGAATATTGAAAACTACTTAATTACGCTTTTAATTAACAACTATTAAGCTTTTAATTAAGCAAATTTTAATTTTTGTACATAGCATGGAACGATCTGTGTGTGTCCAATTCAAGTTGTGACGGAATTAGTTTTCATGTGTCTAAATCCATTTCTCAACTTATCATCTATTAATTTATTTACCACTTGAAATCAGCGAATACAAGTATACTTAAAGGATTCCTAATAGGTATATTCACAGATGTATTTAAAAGTCTCAAACCATAATATTCTTCCTATGCAAACAGTTATTCACTATTTGGTAGAGCAAGGTCAACTGTCAAATTTGACAAATTTTTTGATGATCTCACTGGGTAGCGTGCATTGTCTCTCTTTGGATCTCAATATTTTCCCGCTAGATGGCCATGACCTAGTGTTTTGGCAGTAGATCGACGTGCAAATGTATGACGTCACCATTTCAACCATCAACGAATGCATGGAACTAAAACAAAGCTTAACATAAAGGAAAAACTAGAGAGGTGACGGAATTACCCACGATGTCGGAATATACCGCGTTTACCCTATTTTATTTACAAAAGTTTTTGCACTCGAAAACAATTTTACCATTAATTATGATGAAATTATTTCTGACTCTGTTCATTAACCATAGAAGTAGAACCTCTGATAACCCTATCATTGTATGATTAGTATAGTATATATAGAACAAGCAAGATAAAAAAACTGACAGAATATTTTATTACCTTTTACGCTTTTACCTAGATATGGAAGGTAAATGGAGGATGTTGCCATAAGAAATTCATAGATAGTTTTTTCTGAAATAAATTCTAAATTTTTACTTTCTCAAAATTTTCATATCGAGGAAAATCATATATACGTATTATTGAAGGATAATTAAATGCATATATATATTGAATATTATGAGTTTTTTGTCTGTTTACTGTTCCTTGAAATACTGTATTTGTGCTGTCAACTGTGCAGGGTGAAATGAATGACTGGAATTGCACCAAAATCTGCACTAAGATAAAATATATAGGTAACTCATTATGCATGGGAAAATTCCCCAAAAACCTGCATAATCCTGAGTGTGGAAAAAAGGCATGTATATTTAATTAATTATTCCTAACCATTTTTCAGACAATGGTGAATGGGAAGCCGACAACACCTTCGCATCCTGGTAAGTGAATGAAATCTGCATGCAAGCTGTAGGCCTGTAGCTTCAAGTATACAATGACACACACAGAAGTCACAAATCAGCTGATGGTGTACTGAACCCAAATTGTAAAATTCCATTCATTGTGCATCCAACATTGGAGATACTTCAGCTACTGTCAAAACATCAATGCCATCAATGTCTGCCATATCATAACACTTACCTATGTCACCAGCATTCAAAAGTTAATGCCATCAATGTCTGCCATATCATAACACTTACCTATGTCACCAGCCTTCAAAAGTTCAAAAACACTAAAATTTGTAAACAAAAGTAAGCTTCAATTTTCTAGTGCAATGAAAAAAGCTTTATAGTTACTACATGGTAATTGATCTCTAAAATCATAATTCTAACCCAGCCAGGGCTGTGAAGTATGGTTTTATAGCTTGAGATATTATCATTTTTTAAAGCTCTATCAGCTATCTTGACCTCAAATTAGCCAAACAATGTGCATTGTCCATATCATTTCTAATACAATTATGCCATACACTGGTGCTGATCATTGCACTTTGATCATAATCATGATAATGGCATTAATCCACATATGTTGGTACTGATCTTTGCATATTGGCCATATTGATTGTAATAAGCATATGTCTGTGTCAATCATTGTAATTGTGAATTGTAATCTATTGAGGTGCATGATTGATGACTGTCATCTGCCTTGATGAACCTTGGCATCTTTGAGACAATGAATTTGGCATCCTGGAACTATGTCATGTCAATCTTTACAGTCTGGGCTAATTGTGTACTACTGAACCAAAATTGTATCTGACCCATAGTCCCATACTACATGGTTTTATTGAAATTCTGAGAATTAAGTGCAGTAGCTGCTGTGTAGTAACTTATGTGTCATTGTCAATAATTGGAATTTACTTTGTGGCCAACCCTTGTCACCCATAATAATAATTATTGAATAGAATAATGATTATTGAACAGTATCATAAAGTATATTAAATTCTGGTGATTCAGGATTCTAAATTTGGTTCTATTAATATTTTTTGAATGCATGTACTAGAACCTATCATATGTATGTATTCTCCAGAAATTGGGAAATGTGTTTACAACTACTTCATGGGTAAAATAGAACATTTGTAATGTAAGGCACTACGTACTCATAAATGTCTTAAGTAGATGTCTGTATTTTATCATGTACTCAAATGATGCCTATTCTGTTAGTAATGCAGTAGTTCTATAGTAAACAAATAATGTTTTTATGGAATATAATGAGATTGATTGGTCTGGTTTGAAAATGTTCTGACAGCAGATAAATAGTACAAATGCATTTTTATGTTTTTCAAGTCATGCTAACTACCTTCACAAATAATTATGATAACAGCTGTGGTTTAAGCTGCACTGTTTAAGGGTGTCTTTAGCAGTTGCATCACCGACTAGCCAGAATCACTATCAATTGCGGGGCATTGAAGGTTTAGTTTTCAACTACACATCATGAATATTGATGCAATTAACATAGATTCTACTATTTCAGCTCACTTCTCTCCGGATGACAAGTACAGCCGGTATAGAGTGGAAATCAAGAAGAGATTTGGCATCCACATCACACAGCAGCCAATGCCCATCTATTAATTGTTCTCCACTTTAATATTATTTAAGCATAAAAATTTGTTCAGATTTCTTTGTTTGTGACATCAATAACAAATTATGCATAAATCATGGTGTTTCTGTGGTTGTTTCTATCACTTTCCTGATAAAGAATTAACATGCTAAACACATTTTAGAGGATGCCACAACTCTAATCTGTTGATAACCAGCACCTGGCCTTGAAAAATTCAAATATGAGGGAATAAATTGAGAACATTTTTATTTAACTACTGTTCAGTTGGTCACCAACCTCTTTACACAGAACATTTATTCAAAGATAAACAAAAATCACTTACCACTTTGCAGGCCTTCATAAAAATTCACTCATCAGTTTTTCCTCATCTTTTGACTACATGGATGTAGCTTATTAAAATTTTTACCAAAATGTTAGCCTTTATTTACTACCTACCACACATGTTGAAAAATTTGAGGCATGTATTACTTGTGTCTTCTCCAAAAAAAATTTTATTCTCAGAATGCAAGGTTTACTTTTGAAAAAAAAAACACACTAGACAGTTTAATCTAATATTTTTATTACTACACCTTGGGATGCAAAAGTTTCAATAATTTTATATTTTTCAATATTTTAATATGAATGAATAAATGCTTTTGAAGCCCAATGAAATATTGGTTCTATGCAGTGCCTCATTTTAGAAACTTTCATTTTCTTTCATACCTTAGGAACAAAAAATTAAGCGTCATCGCTTATTGCACAAAAATGTAAATACAAGTACAACTGACGAAGGACTAGAAAAAGTAGAAGACGTTACTACTCCAGTCAAATATCAACACAATCTTAAAATATACTCTTTGAGTGAGCTTCACATTTAGTTTAAAAATTGCTACATGCTTAAAATCCCTGGGTTAATATATTGCACAACATTGTTATAATATCTGAAAATCTATAAGTAAATATCACGCATCAGTTATTTTGATATTTGGGTGCAAGAAGCTTGATAGAAATGACAAATTTACCCTGACAGCATGGCTTGAATTTCAAGATGCTAAGTGTCTGATGTTCTTGCGTTTGTGACCTCACCCACCTTGAAATTAAGAAAAAAATGGAAATGGACCCACAAGACCTATTCAACCATGACATCATCATACCTACAGACAAAGATGAAAAACAAGTCTCAACTTTGAATGTAACTAACAAAATAATTCATCGCAGTAAATGTGTATTATCTGCAGTAAATTTAGAAATTTTGTGTATGAATGATTAATTGGCTCCTGTTAAGACCTGTGGAACGAGAAGCCTGGTTTGAATGCAAACTATTTTCCAAGATAATCATTGGAGTAATTATTGCGGTATTAAATATTGTGTTTGACTGTTAGCTCTAAAAAAATAACAAATAACGTAAAAAGGAAATATTGGTTTTAATATATTATTAAAGAGAGATATCTCTCTTAGCATCTTTTCATCATATAGAATATGAATAAGTATAATATGTTCATAAAAATTACAGTAAGCAAGCTGTTATGCCTAGCAGTCAAGTCAATTATTTGGCAATCTTACGTAAAAGACAAGAAGAGGTTCTTTATAAAAATTATTTCACTAACATAACTAAGTAGTCTGGAGAAACATAAATAATAAATGAATCCTTCATTCACAGTCACTACAAAATAAAAATGTACAAAATATGTCCATACCTAAATGAGTAATTTTGGTGCCACACAACCGAGAGTCTGAGCAATTGATTTTAAACCCTTTGGTCCTGAGAACCTTATTTTGGACAACAACCTCATAAAATTGCAAAAACAAGAAAATTTAATACAAACGATGTCACATTACAATAATTAATTTTTGCTGATAATAGTCTACAAACAGAATTTGCACATGCAAACCTGACTTATGGCACAAAGACTAGATATTGATACAACATCGACATAGAAAAAGTACTAGGTATATAGCTTTCCCTCGACAGTCAGCACCTTGATTGCAATAAGCCTTAATTATATTTAAATAAAAGAAATCCAATATTTTAGCCCACATTTCAGAAATCAAAGATAAATACAGATACGTCACAACAACAATACAGGCAGTTCAAGTCATGAATACATCTTAAATATGATTTCAGTCACTAAGAAGCTCAAGATTACAATGCAAGTAAATTTGAACATCAAAATTAGGTACTTGTCACTACATAAAAATGAGTAAATCCAATAAATTACAGTTCCTCAATTACAAATTATCTGCATACAACTGTTCAAGCTTTGTTATAATGTCAATATACTTTAGTCAAGATTAAAATTACCTAAGAAAAATTTCTTGCAAGACAAAAATATTCTATTTTTTGGGAAGGATGAGTTAAGATGAATAGAAATCTCGATACATTTCTGATTAGGGGTTAGTAATGAAATATCTTCATCAATTCTAGTTAAAGATGTAGACATTTTTTTAAAAAGAATGAGCAAAGAGTTTTCATTACATGAGGACCCATTTGAAATAACATCCCATCATAAAAAGCAATATATTATCTGTCACGATCAATAAAAATTATGTCCTCATCCGTTCCATAGCTTAGTCTTGCATCTTCCATGTGTTTGAAAGTGCAGCAGCAGACTTTCTTTCCAACAGAAGGATTAGCATAGTAAATCAAACCGGAATTTTCATCACAGCCAACAAGTACAACAAAGTGTCCTTGGTAAGGCACGTCACAGGCCACTGCAAAGCAGTCCCTGATGCGCGCTCTTGTCTCCGAAAAACTGCACAAGCGACACTGCAGAAGATGGGCATTGGTCAAAACGATGATTGGTAGACAATTTTTCAGATGCTCCGTGATTTGCATCAGGGAAACAGAACGCTTCTCCACAACTAAGCCCAGCTCAGAAGCGCGTTCAAAACGATCCACAACACGAAGCTCATCCTGGTAAAATTGCACATCATAACTTGGGCACAGAAATCAAAATCAAACAAAATATTAGAATCAGTGGTGAAAATGTTCATCATGAATTAATAGAAAGCAACTTAATACACATATATCAATTCTTGCCATGAGTAGTATGAAAACCTTTGGACTTTCTAGTGCACAATATTGTCATCAGAAGCAAGGTGGGGTCTTGCAAATTTCTTTAATCAAAACTAAATTCATCATTAAAGGAAACAGAGAAACATCTGAATCAGCTTGCCAGCAGAAGCAGGCAGTATTATCATCTCAGAATGACCATAAACAAGGAAGTTGTAAGTAGTAACAAAAACAAAGAGAATGGGAATGTCTGAAGTCATACCCTTATCTAAACCAAGTGGAAGATATATGATTTGCTGTCAGATAGCACAATATTAATGTGGCTGACAACCGTTGATTGAAGACAATGCAACTGGGAGTAGAAAAATTAACAACTTTTTCTCAAATATAATGTGCATCAAAGTCTCAATGAGAATTTAGATATTGAAAATTTTCTGATACTAGTTTAGAGCTATCTACTTGAATACCATATTTCCCCATCATTGATCACATAAACAGTCCTCACCTTGCTGATGGCAGTTTGATAAAACTTTTCTTTACTTAGTCCATGGTCAACCCCAAGAGTGATAGTGTAGTACCTGAATTGAATCCCAAACCGATAGAGAAGATAGGCCAAATCAATACTCCAAGTGCTGTAAACAAAAAATAATTAGTAATGTGAAAAATACAGCGAATTAATAGTTTCAAGTGTGAGAGATTCATCAAGCTATCTTGCAAATATCAATATAGAGGAAATCAAATCTACACTTAATATAGTGGATGAATTCATGGCAATATTTCTAATAAAAATATTTTTGCTACAATATATACCTGTTGTGGAAATTCTCCTCTAGAGCAACTTGTTGAAGATTGTCAGCAAGATACTGGCGTTCCCTTTTTGGCAAAATCATCATGATGCAGGTGACTCCACAATCCCAAGAGTATTGCTGCCTCAGGAGGGTCACCCGTGCACAGTGTTTCTTGATAAAACTTGCCTCATTGTCAGTGATTGAAGATGGGCAACTATCTTGGCAAATTGATTCTGAATAAAGATAAGCTGGATTATCATGAGCTTGATTAGCACCATAACTCTTGGAAATAGTTGAAGAAACAACTGGAAGATGTGGAACTAGATCTTCTATTTCTTGTCTTGAAACAACATATACATCAGATGAGTTACTGAAAGGTTTAGCTTTATCATTGACTAAATTGTCATTGCTCTTCTCTTTTTTATTCTCCTCACCCCAGGAGGATGGAAACAAACTCTCTCTTTTTGACACACTCAAACCATTTTTCCTGGCTTGATTAGAAGGTGCAACTCTGTTGCTTGATGTTTTTGAATTCATTGGTCAAATTGATATAAAGAATGATTTAATAATCTACCTAAAGGGTAGAGACTATATATGAATAAATAGAAGCCACAAAATTCATTGAAAATATCAGATTAAAAATTGCAATTGAGCACATAAATATTTCCAAGTCACACTGACTTTAACACGTTGACTACGATTGTTTCATCTTGTACTATTATTTCATTTTTTGTACTTTTTTTAAGCAGGGTTGCCAGACGGTCATTTTTTCCAGACAAATTCCATGATTTAGTTTTTCTCAAATGGGTTGGCTGGCTAAAATTTATGATAGGGGTGCTTCCTAATTAAATTTTAAATATTGCAAAAAGAAAATAATTGGAATTTTTATAGCGGAACCTATAAATAAACTAGTATACATTGAATTATCAGCATTTTTGGTCATTTTTGTTCTCGGATTTGGCCGATTTTGGGCAACCTGAATTATGTACCACTACCTCCTGGAGAAATACATTTTGTGGTACGCATATGTACCAATACGTAGTCAACGTGTTAAAAAGGTTATCAAAAGTGTTTTCAATCAATATTTAATAATGACTAGTAAAATAAATATAAACATTCTGTTAGAATTTATAAAGATAAAAGTTACGTACACTTTTATAATTATTACAAATAGATAAAACACTATTCAAAATTTAACATACTTATTTCTATCATAATTAATTTATTTCTACACTACTATTCTTGTTTTGGCCTAAAAAGTAACAACCATGTCTTCACTCAATGCCAACCATGTCTTCACTCAATGCTAACCATTCAAGGCCAATTTTCTCATGAACAAAAATATGAAATGACAATTATACTTTTTTTAACCTAGAAATTAGAGACTATCAGTTAGGTAATGACAGATAAGGATATCATTTACAGATACTGAGATAGACATAGCTTCTTGACAGCTATATGGCCCTTACCACAGGCATAGTGGCAAACCAGAGCTTTTTTGGAATCAGTTCATTTTTAATTTCCTCAAGAACTCAAGATTTAAACCAATTTCTTAAGTATGATATAGTCAGATGGGGTAAGACAGGACCGAAATCACTAACAAGCCGGTAGCATCTATACCATGAATAACTAAAAAAACCCAAACCTATCACAAGGTGTAGTTATGCAATAGGCTTCTAAGCTACAACTCATACATTTTGCATCTAACATAGTTTTCTGTACAGATTAAAAAAGTGAGCTGGTCCTATCTTACCCCATTGGGGTAAGATGGGACCAGGCTGGGGTAAGAAAGGACCAACTGGTAATTCTTATGTTACAAGGTTTTTAACAAAGTACAAATCTGATATTCAATATTAGCCATCTAGAAACACATTATTTGATTAAACAACCACTTGTTACAGTTTTTTGTTGCGGGAAGTCAACTCTCATATCAGTCAAATTGAAATTTTTGTCACGAGAAAACTTTGTTTAGCATACTGTCAAACGGGGTAAAAAGGGACGGGCGGGGTAAATAGGGATGCGCGTCCCACATTTCATAGAAATGTTGTAGCAGCTAAACTAATCAAAATATTGCAAAACTAAAAATAGTGGCATAAACTTCAACATTTTTACTATCTATTATGTATAAAGCTAGTCAAGAAATCAAACATTTACTATATCTAAAAAATAGTTGAAAAAAAGTGTGAAAAGTGCGATTTTGGAAAAGTGCCTCTGCTAAGGAGTAAGGTCTGGAGCAAAAAAAATATTTGCCGTATTAAAAAATTTTACTTACATAAAAGTTGCACCCAGGTGTTGGCTTGAAAACGTAATTGACAGAATTTGCCTATCTCATTCCAAAAAAATGGCAGCCATTTCCGTGCGATGGGGTAAAAAGGGACACCCCCCTGGGGTAATTAGGGACACCCTTAAAAATGCATTTACAGTAGAACCTCAGTTAGCAAAGGCTCCAGTTAGCAAAAAAATTTATTAACAACAAAGAATTTTGATTATATTTACCTCGCTTGGCAAAAAAATTAACTTATTGAAAAATTAGTGCATCATTGGTCATCACAAAATTGTACATAGAATGCTACATATAGAATTGTGCACCAGGCATCATAGAATGAAAAGTAATCGACCTAAACTATGATTTATTTCTTCAAAACGTATGATGGTTGTCATTAAAACATTATTTTCTGTTTCAGGTATGTTTTTCATTATCTTTTTATAGTGAAATCACTTGACTCAATTAAAATTGTGCAAAATTACAAACCATCCTGTAAGCAGGGTTGGCGATTTTTTTGATTTTTTTAAAAAAAATCAAAAATCAATGATTTTTTATATTTTTTCATGATTTTTTTTTATTTATTTGATTTTTTTGATTTTTTCAGCTTTTTTGTCTTTTTGAAGTGTAATTTTTTATGTTGCAATTAGCCTATCAACAATAACAGCATATGGATAATAATGGATGGCTAAAAAGGGCACTTATTGCCTTCAATAAAGGCCAACAGGCCAAGGTCGTGTTTACCACTTAAGGATTTTTGGGTAAATGATTATTGATAAATGATACCTAAGTCTATTCATTAGCTTTGTAAAGTTTGTATGGAGCAAGGTAATGAGCTAAATATTGACCATTTAACTGTTTTCAATATACAAAAACACTTCAGGAATGCAGATCTTCTAAACACTGAAGAGTCACATAACAGATAGGCCTAGGTAGCTGATAGCACAGTGCACAGCACTATCAATAGATCTACCAGTTTTATGTCCTATAAATCTACCAGACTCTACCCTCTGAGAAAGCTAACACTTTGAAATAAACATGTGCACAATTCAAATATTTTATATCCATTCACTGCATTTAATTATTTTATAAATAGTCTTATAATTGTAATTTTTTTGTTTCTAGTTTTAAATTCACATACTTAAAGATTAAAATTAAATATTTTAATTAGAATACTTATATTAGGGTGGAAAATCTTTCTAATTGCCTAAAAGGTCAATACAATCTCAACCTCTCAATATACAGGGTGGGGCAGAGCCAATTGAGCAGTTTTGAGGTAAAATAAAAGAGTAATGGAGGTACATAAAGAAGAAAGTTTATTATCCTAGAGGTTAGCATAACATACCATTTAGAATACCGTACTTATGTTTTGAAAACAATATCAGGAAGAGGAGGGCCGTTAGCTGCAACACACTGTTGGAGTCGTTCTCAGAGGAGGGAGTAACCATAACAGTGAATTCCGATTGCTATGCTGCAATGTTGCAAAATTTCTTGCAGCCCATTATGGAAAACATTGTTGAAAATGAAGCTTTGGGAGACGTTTGGTTTCAGCGGGATGGGGCTACAGCTCACACAGCCCGAATGTCACTCAATGTTTTGAAATGCATGTTCCCAGACTCTGAGGGGCAATTTACAGTGGCCTGCGAGGTCACCCGATTTGTGCATTTGCGATTTCTTTCTTTGGGGACATCTAAAAGAAAGGGTGTTCAAAAGTCGCCCTCACACCCTACCACAGCTAAGGGAACGGATTATTGCAGCAGAGGTTATGGCCATACATCGCCATATGTGTGAACATGCTGTAGAAAACTTCCGAGAACAACTCCAACAGTGTGATGCAGCTAACAAACCCCATCTTCCTGATATTGTTTTCAAAACATAAGTATTTTAAATGGTATGTTATGCTAATCTTGAGGAAAAGAAACTTTCTTCTTTATGTACCTCCATTACACTTTTATTTTGGCTCAAAACTGTTCAATCAGTTCTGCCCCACCCTGTATAAGCTAGCTAACACATTTAAATAGTATATTGTAATCAATATATAACAAATAGTCAAATAGGTAAAGACTTCTTATTGCCTTGTAAGAATTACCTAAGCTGCTAGCTACATACAATGTATTGCACACTTGATGCCTCTGTACCAAAAACATTCAATTTCTTGGAACCTAATACACACTAAAGGCAAGTTTATATACCAATTTGTCATTCATAGTACATTTATACTAAACCATGAATAACAATACCTCAATATAAATTAAAGACTGCCACTCAATATATTCAATTATATGAAAAAATCAAAAAAATAAAAAAAATTGAAAAAATCAAAAAAATCATGATTTTTTATAAAAAAAAATCAAGTGATTTAATCACATGATTTAATCATTTTGATTTAATCATTGCCAACCCTGCCTGTAAGCTTACAGATACAGAAGAAATGCTACATGGCTGCTGATATGAAGCTTGCAATGGACAAGGTCGTTGTCAATGCTCAATGGCATGTCCATGGATCCAGCAATATCACATTAATAATACAGTAATTAATGAATATGGTAATATCATATCAATAAAGGAAAAACAAGTAAAAATCACAGAAAATGTCATTTATTTTACATCTACATCATCTACAATGAAAGAGGAGGACTTCAGAGTACTGTTAGTAATGGATGAGTACACTCTGCATGCTTCAAACATTTTGAAATTAACTTTTATTGCAAGTGTCCCAGATTACCCCATTCCCAGGGGTAAATCGGGACGGTTTTATTTTGCCTTTGGCACCTCACCAATAGCATATGGAAATTTTTTGAAGATGCCATTCGATAGCCCTCGCAAAGAGCTATAAAATGAGCCTAAACTTGTTTCTGAAATGTTTCATGGTAAGAAGTTATTAACAAAAAATGGTCAAAACCATCCCTTTTTACCCTGTTTGACGGTAGTAATAGTGGGTTGGCTTTGGTTCATTGTAGAGCACTGCTAAATGCTTCATGTATATTCCATTAGTGCCATTGTCTGAAAAATTTATCAAATTGTTAATAAAACCAATGGATAATAACTCAAGTGTCAGATGTCATGTGTTTTCTTGCTAACTGCATTTGTGGTGCGCTTCTTCAAACATAGCTCATGCCCTCTCAAAAAGTTGTGATCATAATTATTTTTCATGTTTCACACAATGATTTTTCCCCCAGCCAATCTTGCACATAGTTCTGCAGCCTACTAATGGGAATAGACATCCCTATTTTCTATAACCCTTTGATGCAATTTGAAATTGTGCACTAAATTTCTATAATTAAAAAAGCTAACAAGTTATAATGAAGTTTGAGCAAAAGATAAAAATTTTGACCAAAATACTCCATGTACCGTCAACCGGGGCTACTCGGGACAATTTTGAACGTTTTTCATTCATAACTCCTTACCATGAAACATTTCATAAACAAGTTTAGCCTCATTTTAAAGCTCACAACTCACAACAACAACTCACAATCACATGGCTTTACCAAAAAAATTCTATATGCTATTTGTAAGGTGCCAGAAGCAAAAAAAGAGTGTCCCGAGTAGCCCCATCAAACGGGGCTACTTGGAATAAAACTTCATTTTAAAACATTTGAAGCATGCAGAGTGTACTCATCCATTACTAACAGTACTCTGAAGTCCTCCTCTTTCAGTGTAGATGATGTAGAGGTAGAATAAATGACATTTTCTGTGATTTTACTTCTTTTTCATTTATCAATATGATATTACCATATACATTAATCACCGTATTATTGATGCAATATTACCGTATCCATGAACATGCCATTGAGCATTTACAACAACCTTGTCTGCTACAAGCTTCATATCAGCAGCCTTATAGCATTTTTTCTGTATCTGTAAGCTTACAGGATGGCTTGTAATTTCACACCATTTTAATTACGTTAAGTGAATTTACTATAAAAAAATTGTGAAAAACATACCTGAAACAGAAAGGAATGTTTTAGTGATAACCATCATATGTTTTGGAGAAATAAATCATAGTTTAGGTCAATTACTTTTCATTCTATGATGCCTGGTGCACAATTCTATATATGACATTCCATGCACAATTTTGTGATGACCAATGATGCACTAATTTTTCGATAAGTAAAATTTTTTCGCTGAGCTAATAAATATTCTTTGTTTTTAATCAATTTTTTTCTTAACTGGAGTCTGGAGCCTTTGCTAACTAAGGTTCTAATGTAAATACATTTTTGGGGGTGTCCCCAGTAGCCCCACTACGCGGAAATGGCCGCCATTTTTTTTTTCATGAGATAGGACAATTCCTTCAATTACATTTTCAAGCCGACACCTGGGTGCATCTTTTATGTAAGTAAAAATTTTTAATACGGCGAATATTTTTTTTCGCTACAGAGTGAGTACAGACCTTAGCAGAAGTAACTTTTCAAAATAGTGTTCTTTGCCATTTTTTTCATGTTTTTTTTTTCAAAGCTAGTAAATGTAGTATTTTTCGACTTCCTTTATACCTAGTCTGGAAAAGTCCTATTTTTGTCTGAAATATCGCGGTTCTAATATCATATAATTTCAGTAGGTATGAAATCTCGCGGCTCGAATGTCATAAATTTTTGTTTGATTAAAAAATCGCGGTTTGCACTTTGCAAACATGTCATTTCATAAAATTTTCAACTTCCGCAATCCGCATTGCTTTACCGTTCCCGCCAAAAATATCTTGCAGAAAAAACATAAACATCGTAATGTAAACAAATCAACGAAATGTTTTGTTGAAGATCGCTGCCGTTTGACTGTTTAAGGGTAAAATTAGAGATTTGGGGTAACACGTGCATGGACTTTGTAAATGAATTCGCACCTTGAAAATGGCTTTTCATGGTCGAGATATGGAACTCACGGCTCGGTAAAATGGAATCATGGCTCATAGAAATGGAATCACGGCTGGCAAATCCATAGAACCACGGCTCAAAAAATTCAGTCGCGGCTCGCCAAGTAGATATATTCCATGCCTGCTTTATACTACATTGTTTAGGAAAAATATTGACGTTTACACCACTATATTTAATTTTGCAATATTCAAATTAGTTTTGCTACTATAACAGTTTTACGCCATGTCAGAGGCAGTGTGAAATTCTAGAGGGATATTAAATTAACCAGTACACATAGCATATTGGAAAGCAGGACCTGAAAGGTTGGAAAGTCCAGGAACTTTCTACTTCCAGTCCATTTTATTATATACATTATACATATACTATCACTTTTCAACTGTGATTGGTTTATGGGATTGTGATTTTAGCCCCTTCCAGCTTTCTGGCTGTGATTGGTTAATGGAGTTGTAATGTTATCTGCTTTCTAGCTGTGATTGGTTGCTGGGGGAGCTTTCAAGCTGTGATTGGTTGATGGGGATGCTTTCCAGCTGTGATTGGTTGTGCCCATAAGCCCCGCCCCCAAATATGGTATATGTACTACTGTACTGGTTAACTCAATACTTAACTTAAACTTGATCATTACAAACAAAAGGCCTGGAAAAATTTCAAAAAATCCATTATATAAAAGAAAAATGGAGAATATCTATCAAACAAGAGACATTCAAACAATTTTATAACAAATCTGAGGTACCGGTACCGGTACTATACAATTAAAACAGTTTGTCCACTTTTGATCCTCCTTTTCATTTATAGGTCAGCAGGCTGGAATTCTAAAATTCGTGGTTCACATAAAAAAAAGCTTTCCGCCTTAAAAAAAACGTTCCAGGCAACTAGAAACAGGTTTGCAGGCCATCAGAAATCGGCTTCGGCTACGGTAGCTATGATCGTATGAACGTCAAGTCAAGCAACACAGAGAAGGTCCCATGCAAGATTGTTAATTGCGCGCGTTACTCACAGCCTCACAGATGAGCAAGAGGGATGGATCTACAGAAGGAAATACTATTTACTCGTAACATAATAGTTTCGAATTAAATATAAAAAAACATTTATGGCACCTATTTGTTACCTCAGCTTTCAAATTGAGGAGACACTCATCGGCAGTTGGAGAAACTTCTCGAAGAAAAGGCAATGCACAACAAACATGACACTTCACAGTTGACTGACTAGAATAGACTCGATCGTCAATAGAGTACTCGAAAGTCAAAAGTTTAGCATTCAAACCTTTAGATTCTGTGAACCTTGTGATTTCTTCATTATTAAAACTTTAGAAGGCTCACAATATATCGTGTAAATTTTTCACTCAGTTATCGTCTCGAAGTTCGGGAGCTTTATCTGCAGTAATGTTCTGTAACTACCTCACCCACCGTCAATTAACCACTAACCGTCATTACTAGATTCCCGCCAGTGCCGCCACTGTTCCTGTTGCACACGATTGATTCTGCATGCATGTATAATATAAAATATTTACGAAGGTTATTAAACCATTCTGATTTCCGTTGAATGTCAGTTACTGATAAATTTTTAATATAGAAGAATTCGTATCTCCATTTTTCACATGACTATATTGATGTCGGTTTCACATTGGTTGCCGGTGCGGTTGGTATCCCTGCTACCTTCTTTGTTTACGTTTTTTGTTGGGCTGATCGCAACGAAAGGAGATTCGGTGGTCAGTTTTGTATTTGTGGATTGAATCATAGGCAGTTTTTCATGTATTTGTGAGTGAGTGTGCATAGTGAAGATGTTTCCAGATTTTTGGGTCCTGCTTTCCAATTTGCCATGTTTACCAGTTAATATATTACCCCTCTGGATTTCCACAAGGTCAGTCACCTGGCAGAGCACTGTATCTAAGGAAAGCATTCCACCTTGGGTGGAAAGCTTTTTTATAAGTGAACCTCCATTTCTAGAATTCCACCCTGGTCAGAGGACTTTCCTGAGTAGCCCTGCCAGTCCTGAGTAGCCCTAGTTGACGGTAGTCTAGTACTAGATATTGAGTGATAGTAAGCCAAAATTGAAGTGAAAAGTTAGGCAGAAGCCAGAAGCCACCAGCCTAGTGAGGCTAAGACCCCGCTAAGTGAGCGGTGAGCCTACCAGGTAATTGGCCTGTGGCCACATTATCCACATATGCCAATTACTCATTAGCATGTAAATCTTTTCCATCTCCAATTTCTCCATTTCACTTCACCCAATAGGCAATAGCCAATTAGCCATTATTAGTATACTATAGGTTATAGGGCTACTAGGAGTACTAGCCTTTTGCTTTTCCTTATTTCTTCCATGAATAACAGAAAAAAACAGCCTGAGCCTTGATGTCTAGTACCTACTAGATATTGAGTAGATAAGCCAAAATTGAAGTGAAAAGTTAGGCAGAAGCCAGAAGCCACCACTCACCAGCCTAGTGAGCCTAGCTACCAGGTAATTGGCCTGTGGCCATATATGCCAATTACTCATTAGCATGTAAATCTGTTCCATCTCCAGTTTCTCCATTTCACTTCACCCATTATTAGTATAGGTTATAGCCTCTTATAGGGCTACTAGCCTTTTGCTTTTCCTTATTTCTTCCATGAATAACAGAAAAAAACAGCCTGAGCCTTGTTAGTTCACAGTTGTTAGCTTCTTTCACCGTTCACGGTCCAAGAATTTAAAATGTATCAAAAAACTATTATGAGTCATGTACGACAGTGCGAGCTGTGAGAATAAAGAATTCAGGAACGAGTTTACTTTTTTAGCCTACTAGGTCAACCCGGACAGTATGCAGCGTTGCAGCTTCGCTTTCCGGTCTTCCTCCTCCCCCTCCTGAAGAAACAGAAAAACGATGACGTTTTCTTTGGCGAATCCGCAGCTACAGAAGAGAAATAAAACTTCTATAATTTCAAGCGGTGGACTGACTGATTATTGATTACATCGGATCGTCGTTTATAAATCATAAAACCTCTCTTACTGTTTAATATGATTCGAGACTTGTGAAAATAGGGAGAACTGAAATTCAAACAAGTTCATACCAAATTTATACTATTAACAATACAATTCAAGTTTATATAAAACTATCGATAACGTAACAATTGTGAATAAAAACTGAAGATCACTCTTAAATTCTAATATACTGAATTTTACACACTATAAGCAATTGAGACGCGTGAAATGACTTTCAATTTATCTTGAAATGAAGTATTCCTACAGAAAAGCCCAGAAAATTTGAAACTCTAAAAAAACTATTAGGAATTTTAGGGTGAGAATTGTTTCAAATCAAATTGAAGAAGTTCAACTCATTTCGTTTCAACACTCCAAAAGGGATAAATTTTTGACATTAATCGTTTAAACAACAACAAACCATACACCAATAAAAAAAACTGAGTCAAAACTTCACACGATGATTTAGACATGCTTTGCAAACACTAATTCATGCACTGTAGTAAACATGAAATATCGATGTACCAAGGCCATGTTGATAGTGAAAATCAAATTTACTTGAAGCCTCATAACATGATATGGAATTTAGTATTCAGCTAAAGCCCAATCTTGACACAGTTTCTTTGAGGCAATTCTACTATTATAATACATCAATTTCATTTGCACCTCTTACCTCAAACAGGTGAATCGAACACCAAGCAAAGAATGTTATAATGATTAAGTAATGTTTGTCTTTCTTATAAGTTAGGACACAAGCATTCAAGTATACAGCTCAAGTGGAATTGATGCAATTCTTTATAACTTTGTTCGATAAATACTTTAGTGACGCATACTGCACAAGCTCCATCAAATATGAAAATAGGTAATACCTTTGAGCGATGGGAGAGACGACTAGAGTTCCGAGCACAAATAACGTACGAGATGCAGGTTACACTTAATACGTTATAGTGTTTCACTGTTTAAAATCAGTATTATGTATGATCAATATAATGAAACATCAACTAAAAAGTGATTCAGCGCATGAAAATATTTTTGTTTAGATATATGCCATCAAAACCACGACAGTGAAGTGACATACATATGCACTGAATACTGTAAGTGTTCAACAACGATTGCATTAGAGCCGCAGCATAGTTTGGGAAATAGCAAGGTTATAAACGTAAAATCGCTTTACTTACCTAATGAAATAGGAGGTAATTAATGCTAGTTAAAAGATTAAGTATTCACAACTTCCAGTTCATATTGAGCATTCAAGACTTCCAGTTTCTATTTATTCGTACCACCATGGATGAACTTGGCAAGCGAATGTTAGAAAGATGTGCTCATGTATGCTATAAAACATGGTAATACAGGTTTTTACATTGATGAAGATAACAATGTAACGTCTAGTTTCAAAAATATATACTCCGTCGTTACAGGCCCCGAGGGAGGAAGAGCGTCACAAGTAAACCTGAAAAATAAAACAAAAATTTATGACAACGAAGCAACATACTAGACTTCAATATTGCCACACCGGCGCGTCTATCTTTTAAGTATCAGAAAATATCAACGTAGATATGAAATAATTAACAATTTAATGTTCTTTTCATTAAAGATAATTACATCGCCGGGCCTCCAATGGAATATTACTGAATTAAAAACAATATTTTTAAACTGATATAGTTCAGAGTGTCATACATTTACACCTAAATTTGATTTATACTGTGGTTGAGTACGGGAAGAAAATGCTGATGACGAATAAATATTTGACTTACAGAAGGCGGAGAAGAAAGCAACAGTTAAGAAGCAACCCGTGTAGCCGATGGCGTGCAGCAGCAGTTGGTTGAGGCTAGCAACTAAAACACCGCTCAGCACCTGAACAAATATAGCTTCAAGTTAAATAAGAAATTACTTCATAGTATATAGCAAGTTCTATTCGCAAGCAACGCCCCTGAGGGAACACTGTAATGGCATTCTCCAAAATACCTAACAAAATAATTCTGATAAACCCCTAAAAATCTAAATTAAACTTAGGTAAAATGGTACAAAATATTATCTTTTGAAATGCACTTCAAAATACAAAAATAATAAATACATTGTCATTCTCATATCAAAGCCTCAGAATATTTCTCACGGTATTAGCACTTATTTGACGAAACTGTAATGAGCTTAGGAGATTTTAATTCACAAAAATGGTCCATATTGTTATATATAGCGAGAGAAAACGTGTCAATAAAATTAGGCACAACGAATATTATCGAAAGATTGTATGAATTCTTTAGAATTTTTGTTTCCTAAATGATGGAGGATCTTGATGGTGAAAAAAGCTCTCAGTTGATGGCGAAATTACGTGAATCGAAGGCATTCTCAAACCTTGATGGAATTATGTAACTGCAAATTTTTCGATCATATTTTCCTTCATTAAAGGGCACCTATATATATATACCTGGGTAGTGAAAAGCTCATGGTTGTTGTGAAGTTACGAAAACTGAAAGTATTCTCAAACCTTGATTAATTATGCAATTAAATATTTTCAACGGCATTTTCCTAGACTAAAGATCTTCCATACATATACTTACTAAGTATTCTCTCATATTAAGGCTTACCTGGGTAGTGAAGAGGAGCCCATAGTTGGTGGTGTAGTGTCGCGCTCCGAAGGCTTTCTCGGTGACGGTGGGCATGAGGACGAACGTGCCGCAGAAGGTGAAGAACACGCACCACACGGCGGCCGCGTACGCAGCTGACGGGTGCGACGTGAGCGGCGTGAGGGGCAGCGTCGAGAACAGCACGCACAGCGAGCACGTTAGGCAACACATCGACGTCTGTACGGGTCAAAATTATAAAATGTAATGAGCCTAATACAAACTGGATGCTCAAGTTATAGTATTAATGAGTCGAGTATAAAATGAATGCATCAAGCTATTTTATGTAATTTCATCAACAACGGTTAATGTGCCACTAGCTAACGTGTTTCACCGTGACCGATTTTCAGGAAATAAGATTGTCTTCTTAATACAAGTGAATGGAAGAGAAGTGTCCACAGAGCAGCAAGTGGACGCTTATTATTCAACACAAACGTAAACAACAAACGTGCACGACGTTCACCTTAAAAGTGGTAGCATCCATAAGCCGTCCCCAGAAAAGACGTCCGCTTGCATTAAAGATGGCGGCAAGAGCACCTACAGTCGCCAGAAAGAAATCATCCTTAAGGAATGTCTGCCCGAAGCTCTTGTATGTGGCGTTGATGTAGCCAATGGCTATGGTGTTGATGAGGTATATCAGCCACAAGTGGTAGAACAGCCGCGTCCTCAGCATTTGGCGGGGAGTCAAGTTCTCTGAATCTTCTCGTATACCTGAAAACATGTGTAATGTTTCAGGCAATGTTGCTTGACGAGAAAGAATATTTTGAAACTCAAATAAAACGCGCTTATATCTAATTCTTGAGTAGCTAAGATATTTTTTCTTTTAAAAACTTTCAAAAACTTAATTCCGACATACATTTATTTTCCGCACCCAGTAGTATCAGCGTAAACTAGTACAGTTTTCAGTACGCCACCAGTCTTTCATAGGCTAAGAAAAAGTAAAGCTCAGACTAATAGTTATCAGTAAGCACTAGGATCATCAGATGGCCGAGGAATAATGTAAACACAAACCGTGAGATGCGCCGCTGCTGCGTTGGTCGCACTGGCCGTCTAGGAGCTCTTCCTCCTCCTCGTTCGAAGTGTGTGTGGTTCGCTGCATTGAATAAAAAACACAGAAACGAGTAAAATACTAGAAATAGTGCGGCAGACATAAAACTTTTTTGGATAAAAATGGCAAATACATTAAATTTACTACACGAGTCCATTAAGGTGCTTGTACACGGGGATAGTGCAGACGGCTAGTAAATCTGGCTAGTGTCGGTCGCTTGGTGACTATCCGGCTAGTAAGCCTGTACACACGAGGAGAGTATAAGGTGCCGCTATCTTCTCGTTCGCGCCCGCCAGTGAGTCGTTAGAAGCCGTCGAGTGAGGTCTGTGAAGATGGATAGTGTCATCACCTTCAACAACTCGAGTCTGTACGTCTTTTTTATACTCCATATTCTAGCCCTTAAAAATACAGCGTCGGGAACAACTAAACCCTGACTAATAATGTCTTCTTTCCGGTTCGAAATACTCGTTTCTCTCTTCATTTAGTTGGAGTAACCATCATGGAAAACATTATACTTTAATTCATATTTTTGGAATATTTCAAAGAATAATTGAATATCGTCTGGAATCCACTTTGTTGGATTCCTCTTAGAAACATTATCGTTCAAACAAGCCATGATTCACGTGACCCGAGATACTTCACAGGAGCGGTACAGATGCTCTCACCATGGCTGCATCAGCGCTACTAGCCACTTCTCCAGCCAAGATATCAACACATCGTTGTCTCTCTCGGCCGCGCCTCGGGCCCTTGCCGGCGCATGCCTCTGAAGCGGCTGAACCCCTATACACGAGGCTAGTAGCGTGGACAGTTCAAGCGCCGGATGAACTAGCGGCTAGTACTATCCCTGTGTACAGGCACCTTATGCCACGATAGAACGTTTGTTTCCATCAGCAGGCATAAATTTCACAAATGTTGTCCCTAAAGAATCATTTCAACAGCTCTCACTTGAAACTAGTCGTACCAAATGTGGATCTGACCTAATTAAACAATTTGCATCTAATTGATTATATGGAAAGCTTATCTAATTAATGCGGAAAGGAACCACTGCCAACACTAGGTACGGTTATAACATTGTACAAATTTGCAGCCTGTCAAGGATTAGATAAATGTGTCATAGCGCCCATATTAAATAAGTTGGGCAACGCTCGCCGAAATAAGTGTAACATAGCGCCCATACTAAATTGTTAGGCAACGCTCGCCGAAATAAGTGTAACATGGCGCCCATACTAAATTGTTAGGCAACGCTCGCCGAAATAAGTGTAACATAGCGCCCATATTAAATTAGTTAGGCAACGCTCGCCGAAATAAGTGTAATATAGCGCCCATATTAAATTAGTTAGGCAACGCTCGCCGAAATAAGTGTAACATAGCGCCCATATTAAATTAGTTAGGCAAAGCTCGCCGAAATAAATGTAACATAGGTAGCGCCCATATTAAATTAGTTAGGCAGAGCTCGCCGAAAGAAGTGTAACATAGCGCCCATATTAAATTAGTTAGGCAAAGCTCGCCGAAATAAATGTAACATTGGTAGCGCCCATATTAAATTAGTTAGGCAGAGCTCGCCGAAAGAAGTGTAACATAGCGCCCATAATAAATTAGTCAGGCAAAGCTCGCCGAAATAAATGTAGGGCATCACCCCGTACCACGAGCGACACGTCAGGCCGGGACAGCAGCAGGCAGCCCAGCGTCTGCAGCGCCGCGAACACCGCGGCCATCACAGTAAATACTGACGGCACGCGCGCCAGCAGCGCCGGGTCTTCAAAATACCTGCCAATTATAGTTTAAAAATAAACCTGGGATTAGGTAATTAACTGGAATTAGAAAGTCGCATGTATGTAAACTGATTATTATAAAAGAAAAATTAAGATAGCAAATTAGAATGAGAACGTTGCAATGTAATATAGTGGTGTTTGCTTAGATTATGTCGTGTTGGCAAGCAGCTGATTCTTAAACACCCGGCCACCGGGTTCGATTCTTAAACAACTGAACACCTAGTCGAACCCAGAGTTCGACCAGAATTTTCGTAACTAGCTGCGAGTTTCGAACCTTCAACTCGCTACTCCAATCTTGGTGATCTAAACCACTCGATTGCAACAAGCTTGCACAAAACATTAACTGAAAAATTCAAAACCTACAATTCAATAGTTCTGATAGGTCTTTCTCAAAATTTTACAGTATAAAGATAAAATTTTTGGTACAAATGAAAAATCATAATACACAATCAATACGAGATCAAAACTTTTAAAAGGAGAAACCTTTAAGCTTCCATGCATGCAATCCAATTCGTACGTACAAAGGTCACACCATCCGCATATAGGAAAAAAGATATAAATCAGATAGTTTAGTAAACAATTTATACTGAACGAATGCAAAGAGATGTCACAATATACATATATTTTTGAGGTATATTTAATGCAATCCCATTGAATAAATCTCAAAATTGAATGTAACTGCAATTTGAATAATTGACATAAATTCTATCACAATACATATATATATATATATATACATCTGCCAAGCAAACTTTCACTAGAATATTTATTATTTTCTAGTTCATGGTACTTATAATAAGTCCCACATACCTGTAGTAATAAGCTGAATGCAATGTTATGCCGTCATCTGTGGACCACAAAACAAACTTTGTAATTTTAATACCTATATAATATTAAAAGGACATTATAATGATAATATTTGTTCACCCTGATGGCGCCACAGAGATGTTGTCCGGGTTGAGGTAGTGCGTTTGTAGGCTGGTGCTGCCAAGAGCGCCCAAGCCAAAGCCTGCCACGATCAGCCCGTTGATCAGACCTTTGCGTTCCGGGTACCACTGCAAAACCAGTAACTTATGGGTAATTTCTTTTCTTTCTGATAAACTTATTGATTTTAAACTGTAGAATAACGTTTTCTCAAGGCGGGAAAACTGGTAACAGATGAATGTTTATTAATTAATATTGGCATAATTCATTCTCATCGTCAATAAAGATGTGTTAATATCGAAGATTAATTCATGGGTAAGATAATTTTTGAAGATTTCAAGAACGTTTTTACCACAAGTATCTGTCAAAAGGTGACTCATATTACCTCTCTACTTACATTTCAGCACGCTCCGCTGTACTTCCTAGCCATCTATTATCTTACGCATCCACCTCTAACACTTTCACCCTCATTATTATCCTCCTCAAATCACCGTCGTCATAAGCAAATTTTGAATGAGTTAGGTAAGGCAACGAAATATTTGAAAAACTGATAAGATAATACATGCAACAAAACCTAGATATAAATTGTAAAGAAAATTGCATTGTACAGTGGTATTATTCATCATGAGACAGTTTTCGCCAGCTTGCCAATTTAACTGAAGCATGATGAGTTATCCAGCTGCACAATAAAATTCTCGTAAGCTATTCCCAATTACAAAGTTTTTGTTTTGGATTACATTCCATTATTCATCTCATCAGTTATTTACATTTGTCGTTTTACAACACTCACTCTAAAGTTGATGGTGACGATGGTGATATAAAAGTAGTTCCCACCTCGCAGGCACAGGCATTCTTATTTGCTTTAAAAAGTCCCTCAATAGCTTTCTGAATCTTTAAAAAGCTACGTCATCATAAAAAAATAGTTGAGCATGCAACAAATTATTATTTGGAAATATTTATACATTTACTGTAACTTTAATAAATTGTTTTGAACCGTTATTATTCTCTATAAAACTAAATTAAGATTTCGTGAAATTACTCAGATAAGCACAAAAAAAAGTTAATGAAATTGAAATCATCGCCATTAATCGCTGCAATGCACTTCAACTATAAAAAATTTACCACAAACATATACAATAAATAAATCACAGCAACCACGTTTTATCTGTAAAACAAGCAATTGTCTCCATTCAAGACATTAATCGGTGAAAATTGTGATTACCTAGACACTGAAAACCTCCCCAGATCAACGTGATTATCCAGACACTCAATCAAAGAAGCACTGGGGAAATTACCTTCATGGCGCACGCCATTGGCGAGACGTAGGCAAGAGAAATGCCTAAGCCCACCAGGAGGCCGTACGTCATAGCCACAGCAAATACAGAGCAGTTGATTGTCAAGCGCGTGAGACCCACGCCTAAACTGCCCACAAATTGAACATGGCAAGGTAAATATTGCATAAATAGCTTTTAACTTGTCTTCAAATCAATAGGTTGTACGTGTCAGGGTATCTTCTATCACCCTCTAGGTTATCATACGTCACACTCTTATAACATGTTCTGTACCCACATGGTAGAGTCACACTCAGTGACGTCATCCCTGTTCGGGCGCCACTGCAGGTGTCTATTTCTGCGACCACCTGATGGATTTGTACTGAGGGTCTGGGTACTATTGTTCCAAGTGTGACTAAGGCAGGACAAGTGAAACACGATTAACGCTAGAACTATTATAATAATAAACTGGCTCGGTGAGTACAGAAGGACCGGGGATTGACAGGTACAGCACAAGTATGTGCCGGAGGAGCGGCTAGCAAGATGACGGCTAGGCAGTACCGCTGCGACTGACGAGCGGTGCACAGATCGAGATATATATAGGCCTTAACAGGGATGACGTCACTGAGTGTGACTCTACCATGTGGGTACAGAACATGTTATAAGAGTGTGACGTATGATAACCTAGAGGGTGATAGAAGATACCCTGACAGTACGTGGTAGTACATTTATTAGGTACATCATTAATTATTAATTCATCATTAAATAATTATTAGTTAATTTCATTACTGATTATAATATTACTGGCATATGGCAGAACTCAAGAAATCTCTTTATATAAAGAGAGCAAATACAGCAGACGGGTTGCAATCTAATGATTCTAATAGCGGAATAAGTTAAACTGAAGGTACCTCATTATAACTGCTCCAATACAACAAGTTAGTCTGGGCCCAAGTCTTGCTTCAAGAATTCCTCCAATTGGCATGAAGAGCCCCTGCGCCATCAAGGTTAGCGCCATCACCCAGACCACGTCGCTGTAGGTTACGTCACGGGACACTTCCTCGTGAAGGTATGACGTCATGTACGTCGTCAGGTTCCCTGCAACAATTTGGACTTTAACCAAAAATCTGCTAGTGTTACATTTATCAACATAAAAGCTAATTGTACTTAAAGTCAATTGTAATTAAAGTCAATTTTACCTAGAGTTAGTCAGGACACACTGGGCTGGCTAAATTTGATAACAAATTCTACTTAAAGTATGCAAACAAAATATTTATTACAGTAATTTCAGTTAGGCATGATATGAAAAAGATTCTAGACTAAAAATAAATATTTAAATTACAATTTTTTCTCACAAATGCATTTTGCAAGTTTTCATCCATAGTAATTTCCTAGTAATAACCGTATTCACAATTCAACATGAGAAAATACAGCAATGTCAAACCAAAGCTGTAAAGGTTGCCGAGAGTGAGATGAATGAGCACTCCACCCAGTACGGCACCCCAGGCCCGCCAACCGCACACAGGAGGGGCGGCGTCCATCGTCTGCAGTGACATGTAGAATTACTCCAATAAATTATTAACTAGGAATACATCAATTAATTGTTATTATATATAATGTAGCACAGATCCTCAAGTGTTCTTTTGATAGAAATAAATATTATATAAGAAGATATTACTTCACTAAATTACAGTTGAATTAGGTACCACTTGACTCCGCAGACAAATCGGAAAGCTGAGGTTGAACAAAGCGGATCAGATCACTACAAGGCAATGGGCTCTGGGGTCTCCTTGGTCAATTCTGCTGATGTCCTAGTGCTCTGTAATAGAAAATAAGCACACAAATCAACAAAATAATTTATACATAAAATGAAGTAGAAATGCTCATCAAGAACTATGATTTCAATCCACACTATCAAATTATGATGTAAAAACCAATCTAAGTACCTATACTAAACCACATTGTACATTTGGGTGTGGAAAAAGTAGGAAGAACAAAATTTAAAATTTTGATCAACAATAAACTGGCAAACATCTCACCTTAATGTAACTAAAGTAGTTATCTCTTGCTTGTTTTATGTGTGACATAAGATCTATTTCATCAGAAAGCAATGCCAACAGCCAAGGAAGAGGCAGCTCTAGCAACATTCCAGTTACCTAAAGAATGTTGTTTGGTCAGTATAATTTTTTGTCAGTATTTACATCTACACTGCAATCCATTTCATTTATAAAGAAAAACCGCAATCACCTCAAGTTTGACAAAAATTAATAGCCCAAAGGCAATTATATCTTGACAATCAAACAATGATATAAGGCCTTAATTTCAACACTTCCCCTGTGATAAGAAGCAGCACACATTAATGAACTTGCCTGTGCACATAACTCTTTCTCATGTTCAGTTACTGCTGCAAACAAGTTTTCTCCAAAAAGTTCAGCCTTGCTTTCCTCTAAACTGAAAATGGGCAAAATTACGTAAGCACTTTAGAAACAAAGGTACACAAAAAATTCCAAGTACCATTTTATCAGTTAATATTGATACAATATCGATGATGATCATTACGTTTAAATTCCAAATTATTTCAAAACTAGACAGTATATATTCAGCCTGCAAGTAGACCTCACCAGAAGTTACTAAGTGAATAGCAAACTTGGCAATGGCAAAACAGATACGACGTTCCAGCAGAGCATCTGAGCAAAGAATTTTGATGAAGTCAGACTTGCTGCATCCAAACACGAGCACACCTGTGATGTGGAAAGATAAACACCAAGTAAGAGGTTGAATTGCATAACATAAAAGAGCCTAACTTCTAGATCTGGCCAGTTTAACCATAATTGCAATGCTTGATAGTGAAGATGATGGTGATAGCTTGAATGATAGTTCATCAGCAAGTATACAAATAATATTAATAAACTATCAACAAATTTAATGAGAGCATTAAGCAATTCACCCAGTATATGTTGACCCAATTATTTTATAATGAATACAACTAATGCACAATAGAATAATATGAAAAATTAATGTTAATTTAAGTATTTAATGTTGTGAAATAATTCATAGTAATAAATATTCTTTAAATTGAGATGAAAAATTTCAGTTGGGAACTCATTTTCAAAATGATGATCACATTACACATAAATATATGGATATAAAACCTAACATGACTTCAATTGCTGAGAAATTAATGAAAAAGTTATATAAGTGATTTCATAGATGTATAAAAAATAGAAAATTATGCATGAATAGACAACTTATTGAATACAAAAATGTCTTTCTTGAAGAAATAGATCAATTTCAACTTGGCCTTTCTTACATACCTACAATAAATATTTACTTGGAACACAATATATGAGCTCAATTATTTATTAAATATAAAATGGATTGAGATAAATAGTTGATGGGCTTCTCACCTTATCAGCAAGCAAAGGTTGCAAAAATTTTACTTTCTTGTAGAGTTGGAGGCACAGAAGCTCATATGCTGCAAGCAGGTGCAGCTTACTCATGACCTGCTTTAACTTCAATTTAGAAAAACTGTCAGGGAATTATCAAGATAATTAATAAGACTGATATTGAAATACAACTGAGATTGCAATGATTACAAACTCCAGATAAAACTCATCAAGAGAAAGAGTATGGGGAGACTCTAATTACCAGATATGAATTGTTTTAACAAAGCTTGATGTATCCAAAGACCACATACTAACCAAGATTTTTAATTGTAACCAAAATGCACACCCCAAAAGCAAGTGAGAATTTCTAGCCAGCTGTTAGCGAAATTCAGTTTGCTGAATAATTTTTATTGTATGGCTAATTTTTCATGTTTAATGCTTCTTACTACTCCTTGATATATTTTTTAAAAATAAATAAAACTTTTGTCATCTCTTTAATCTTCTGTATGGCACAGTATATACTCCATAATTGAAGAAAAACTTGACTATTGAGGGTGCACATGTACCCTCAGCATATAGTACATAACATAGCATATACCTACTTAACACAGACATTAATAAAAAGCTAGTTTTAAGGTTTCAGTCATGATAAATGTCTAGTGGACACCCCCAGCCAGCTTCTATGGCAGACTGGAAGGCAGGTAGGATGTTGCTGCTATGATGTCAGCAGAAAGTAGTGCTGGTGGACATAGGTTCTGCTGCTCCTGTTGACACCCCCTTCCCCTTGTTGCTTATGTGGCTGATTGGCCCAGTCTTAATGGACTAGGCAATGCAGCATTCTGTACAGCATGCATGCTTTGCCTGCCTTTCCCCTCAGATGGAACTGGTCTATGTAGAGCCTGGCCACCCTCTCAGTGGCACTGGATGAGAGGCCAAAATCACCTGGGATTAGGGGGTATTATCTCAAGTCATCTATAGATCTGTAGATCCCAGACTAGTAATACATTCTCCAGCACTGGTCATACAAGGCCTTTATACCAGTGAACTTGTACTTTTGATAGGCATCCCCAAAGATTTTGACAGGCAAATGAGGAGGATTGGTTGACTTTGGATGTAGATGCCTAGACACGCTTTCCCTAGTGAATGGCTTCTGATATTTTGTTGCTTAAGATACCTGGGTCCAATAATGGAATATATCTATTTTCTGAGCCATAAGTAGAGCTTCCTCATATTTCATAGAGCAGCACAATTCCTGCTAGATGAATTATCTCCTATCTGAATATTGAAAAATTGCACAATCAAGCCAAGAGTTTCTCATATTACATTTTGGAAATTTGTCACTTTGGAGCCATGAAATTTCATTAATTAGTAATTTTCCAATCTTGCACTGTGCTGGCTGCTGGGGAATTGATTTGGCACCTGTTCATGTGGCAAGTAGTTTGCATAGGTAGTGAGTTTGTTCTTGTCCTTTTAACAATTATCTAAATAAACTATAACCATGTAGTTTAGCTTCAGTCCACTGTGGCTGTGCAGTGTGCACCCTATAGTACAGACTACAGAGAGTGAGCAAATATCTATAGATCTTTGGTGACATATCAGCATCAAAATCATTCTCTTCTGTGACCTTCCCAAGACATTTATCATCAAGTACTTAGTAAATAAATACCTAGTACCTATTTACATGTGTGATAACTGATTTTCAAGAATGGTATTCAATTGAGTGAAAAGCAACTCAGATTGGCCAGTGTGATAAATTTTTCATATTGCCTATAGGTAAATTATAAACAAGTATACTTTCAATCATTAGGTTATTTAGGTATAACTATTTAGAGGATAGTAAATTACTGAAATTCAAGTTTTTATGATTTTTTTTAAATAAGTTCAGGGCTTGGAGCATGGAGGTAGATCCTGGCAAGGTTTTACCTTGGAGGTGGAGCCACTCAGAGTCTCAGAGCCAGGTAATAATGATCATTTCATGCATTGCTCAGCTCTCACCATTTGAGTAACAAAAATCATGGGTAAAAATAGGCTGTTTTATTTCTTTTTCATCAAAGAAATTAGGTAGAAAAAATCCATGAGATGATGAGAACAGGTAAAACTGGACAGGTTCATGCATGAACCTTTTTGTCCAATGGACCAATTTATCATTAAAACGTTTTTCTTAGCTTAGCTTCACGTTTGTTTGTTTGTTGTTAACATTGACAACAAAAATTAACCCACTTTTGATTGCTCTAGAGATCTGAAATTCGGCATGCAGGCTATTTTCGCCTTACAATTTCAGATACAATCATAAAAACTAGCAATTAGAGAACCAAATTAGCTTAATTGAGTAAAGTATATATATATATATATAGTATTACGTGCTGTTACCGGGGGTAATCTTAGGGCAGACCAAGCTCATGTGTTTCAGCTCACAAATGTCTATTATCGATTTCATTTATTTATTGTTTTCACTTATTGCACACATGGTTATTATTTGTCGTCTTTCATGCTTATCAGGCAAACTAATAGTATTTCATGCATTTGTGTCTAATGTCGCCCTATGTTTTATGTCTCGTTTCAGGTTCTATTGTCATTTATTATTATGGTTCTTTTCATATCTGTCAGTTTGATTAATCTTTAGTGCGATGCTTGTGTTGCAATAATTACTTTAATTGTTATCTCAAATCACTTTTGCACTTGCATTTGCCCGTGACTGTTTTAACTCTATAATATATTCCTTAATTCATTATCCTATTTTGTTGATCATGTTTAAAGTCAAATTAACTTTACTAAATTCCCTCACATAGCAAATAAATTATTATGTCTCTTATTGCATGTATATTTATGTTCATTTGTTTGTTTCAGTTGCTGTGTGTTTCACTCCACCCATTGTTTCATTCCATAGTTCTATAGTCCTAAATTATCTTGGTTATTGATCCAATTTTAATTATGAATTTGGCAAACTATTTCTTATTGTATAAAATTTTAACATATTGGCTTTCCTTTTAATAAATGAAAATACATACTCAAATAAAAGCAAATCCCAAAGCAATTCATTAATTCCCGTTTTCTGTGACGAGCACTAAAAGAGTAATTTTCAGTAAGTGAACAACGAGTTTGTTCCACCCGCTAGTGCGCCCGGTTACAGTGCGGGCGCTGACGTTATAGACGAGCAGGCACTGACGCTGCGTAACATGGATACGTACAAGTCAAGTCATGCTTTTTAGTCCGTGCAGCAAGGGACTAAAAAGGAGAAAATAAAATACTTAAAAAAACTTTTTTAAAAAACCATGTTTTTCTTGTGGACTAAAAAGTAGTAAATAAATTATGGCTGGCCCCAAAAAATGTGGGTCGGGCTTTACGTTCACGGTTCACCATCAAATTTCCAAAATTCGTGTGTTGTGTGCTTTTCGCTTAAATCAAAAATCTGCCCGACACATGTTTTTTGGAGCGAGCCATAATTTATTTTCTACTTTTTAGTCCACAAGAAAAATGTGGTTTTTTAAAAAAGTTTTTTTAAGGATTTTATTTTATGCATGGATAGCTTCTGGCAAATTTTCCAGTTTGAACTACATCCATTCCAATTTCCAAGTAACTGAATCAGTTTCAAAATATCACCAATATATGAAATAAAAATATAGTTAAAATATTTTTTATTTGATATGTATGCTATGATTGCTATCTGCACTTATTCAAATATGACTCATTCAGAGACTCAGAGTTAAGTTCTCCTGAATCATGCACATGCAATGATCAGTGATGCAGATGCAGCGAGTTGGTCACAACTCATCAACTCGTCACAATTTTTCAAATAGGTCCTAGGTACCCAATCGGCCAAATGACAAATCTTAGGGTCCTTTAATTTCAAGGCATTCTCAATTTCTCCCATTCACTTTTGCGTTTTGTTTTAGTGCCATTCTGATTCTGGCATTCACAAATCACAACCATCAAATTCCATTAGGTTATGGTCTGAAGATCTGGCTTTCAGTCAAATTCAGTGTCAGCTAATTCGAGTCAAGTTGTCATTGTCAACAGTAGACTCGTGAGCGAGTTGTGACTCCTGCTCCGTAGTTCGTAATGACTAATAGTACACACCCACTCTGTTTCCTGTCTGTCTATCATGTACGTATCACATCGTCAGCAGTAGGTCACTGACACAGTGACTGACTCAGAGTCAGTGACTGAGTGAGACAGTAAGCTAAGACACATCGACAGCCTAGTGCCTACGACAGGAATATACCTAAAACTTAATACTGACCTAACATTCCTAACTACATAAGAGAACTTTAAATAACACCCTCTAATGTTGTTAAAACAATACGAATTCATCGTCGTTGAACAAAACCAAAGAATTGCGCAGTGCCAAAGCCGAATAAACATGCAGACCACTCAACTTCAAGACGTCATGAGCTGCAGTCAGTCCAGCTGCTGCCCCTGCCACCAGCCATGTGGCGCTTATCAGCATTCAGCATTCCGCAGGCCGACAAACTGTTGAAACGCGTTTTAATTGCCACGGTTGAAGTAGTAGGTAGATGGTTCAACAATGTTAATTGCAGTCGTGGCACAAGCCGAAGCTTGCAGCTCATAAAGTTTAAGAATGCATGATAAAAAATATTGTAGAATATGAGAATAATTAACATACAACATGAATCGGCGACAGGCCTATCCAGGCCTATTCTTTAATGCCGAAGATACTATACTATACTATACTACTAACATAGAGATATTCTGGCAGACTGTTCAATTAAATGTAAACCCATTAAGTTAACAACCAATCTATTGTATTTCACGTGCAATTTTCTTTCCGTATCCTATGTATTTTACTCGTATATGATAGAAACTAAGAGATTTATTTCTAGTTTCTACTGTACCGGGTGTACCCACCAGTAACTGAAAATAAAAATAGCTTGCATATCTAGTGCAACTGAGATAGAAAAGTTTTCATTTTGAAAGTAATATTGGCAGTGTTGTGATATCAAATTGAAGTAGCTACGTGCCCTTCGCAACATGATGGTCCGTTACGACTTACGAGATACACTGCGCACGGCCATGCTTGACCAGAGGTAGCATAACTTTAGGTAATGCCGCAGCCTTGAGATAATCATTAAGCTAATACCTGCCTCAACATGACGTCAGCCCGCACAAGTTGGCCCTTTTAGAACAATGTTCAGGACAATCGAGTGACGTACTAGGCTCATATTACGTAGTAATTTACTCTACCACTTATGTAAAATTACTCGAAAATTTTCATTTCCATTATCAATTTACGTGTAATTGTCTTACGTTGTTCTTTTTCACTACAATGAGAGTTGATCAATGTAATGTGAACAAGTGCCGACTGTTTAGATTTTGATCATGGCGAATTAACAATATCTCGAATTGTTTGTGAGCATAGGAGTTTTGGTAGTAATCTAATTTTAAAATGTTCGATTAGAAAACTCGTTGCGTCCAATGCATGACCGGTTAGAATTTATTCCTTTTTTTACATAGAAATTCCGAAGCATCTCACTTCACTCACCGATATTCGTCGAGTTAACATCAATGTACCAATTATAAGACTATAGAAGCAAAATTATGATTGTGATTTTTATCGCATGAACAGAAATGCACTAAGTTCAATATTATATATTTTAAGGGGAGCGTCTAGGGTAAAAATTTGGATTTCGGCTTTTCCGGTTTTTAGTCTCATCTTAAAGCTGACATTCTGATCTATCCAACGGTACCAAAACCATCTCTGTACGTTGATTTATGCGTTCACGACAGATCATGAAAGGGAGGGGGGTGGGGTAGTTCTTTAACAAATAGAATGGGAGGAAATTCGCTGCGAGCACTTTAACCCTTTCGTGGCTGACGGGACTGTGAAGTCCCACTGAATGTTTTACTCCATAACTTGCATACAGCATACCATTCGAGGCATAGCTAACTACAGGGACACATGAGTAACACTCCTACGCCTATGTCAACTCAAAAGTAATTGACTGACGGGACTGTGACGTCCCGCCCAACGATTTACTCTATAACTTGCATGTAGCTCTAAATTCAAGGCATAGCTAACTACAGGGACATATTAGAAACACTCCTGCGCCTACATATGTCCAATCTAAAGGAATATTAATATATGTTCTTTTTGGGATATGTTATTATATAAGCTATTACACGCGTTTGCCAAAAGAAGTTTGTGATATTATTCAACTACTAACCAAAAAGTAATACGAAAATGTTTTTTTTATCAAAATCAGTGATGTCGCAAATTGTGTCACCTCAGTTGGAACCATATGCTACCGGGATTTTCTAGTCCCGATTATATAATTTTTACCATTAACATATATTTAATTATTTTTACGGAGATGCAATATTCGGTCCAAGTTCATGATGATTCTGTAGAAAAATACGAATAAAAAGTTGTAGAACACATTGCCGTTACGAAAGGGTTAAATAGAGTGTCTGCTTGAAGTGCACCTTAGTTACCCGCCTGGCGTCGTATGAGGAGGTGTGCATGCAGGCGCTCCCACCATCCTTGACTGGAATCAAGCTCCAGTAACGTTTAGTTTTGTATCCTTGCTACATTGAGTTGCTACATTGAGTGCCTATTCCGATGCGCGCGGGACTTTGACGGGCTCTACTGAAAAGTTAACTTATTGTCACTGCAAACCTATCTCCTCCTAGAGTTTTTAAGCTACAACAATGAGACATATACCATTCGATGCGCAACAAAATTATCTAGAACGTAACACGTGCGTTTTTCTAATTTCGTTATAGTTTGAATTTTATTCCGCAAAAGGGGGGTGGCGGGGGGAAAAATCGAAAAATTTTCGAAAAATTTACGAAAAATGCTCCCACACCCACAAAAATGAGAAATCCTAAAAACCCTCGTGTTGCGTTTTAGATATGGTCTTTACGCATCGAATGATATGTGTCACAATGTTGTAGCTTGAAAATCCTAGGAGGAGATAGATTTCTACGGTACCCCTTTTTTGGCCGTTTTCTAAGAATTTCACGTTTTCTTTAATTTTTTTCGAAAAATTCACACGAACAAAAATGTCTTAGAATTCTATTTTACATATGTGTATCAAGTTTCAGAGTGATCCGTTCGTAAATAGCCGAGATAAATTTTACCCTGGACGCTCCCCTTAAGTGGGAATGATTGCGTCAAAAAACTTAAATAGTTGGTTTAATTTAGTCATAAATTATTTTCAATGTCATGCCGGTTTTGATCCGTTGACTCATCTACGTAACTATTCAACAGTCCTTAGTGCTACGCAAAGTTCAACAGTAAAATATATTTCTCAGTAGTTTGTTATAAATTAATGGCCTTGTTAGTGATTCTAATATTCGTATTGTTTCAAGTTTGTTGTGCATTATCATACACGCATCCATGTTAACTGGATTGTTTCTAACGGTTATTGGTATGAGAAGTATAAGATTGAACGTGAGATTTACACTCAGAAAATCACGAGATTTTGTCCGAATGACTAAGCACTTCTTACCATCGTGTGTGGGCCTCCCTAACCCAGTTTTCCCGGCAAAAGGACGTATCAGTGATACACGCAGAAAATGTTTCCCATTAATTTGAACAATGAAAATGAGCCCCCTATTTAAGACAGGTGACCCATTCAGTTTTCTGAGATGAACCCTGGAGTTGAGTAAGCGTGCGCGCTTATTTCCAAGTTCAGTTGTACCCGCGGGCAGTTCGCTGGAGTAGATGATTGGCGCAGAGTTTGAGGTTGCCAGCTGTACAGTTATTCGTAACGCCTCAACAGAAAAAGTGGCAGACATTTTTATACACGCAATTGATTCAAGACAACACATTTCGGAAATCGTGCCGTATGATATATCAATGTAATTCAATACGAAGTCATAGTAAATGTTATATTTAATACATTGTGTGATGAAGGGCACATCAGGATGAATTTTCGTTTGTATGAATTGTAAAGTTTATTATTCATGTATCTTTCTAGATTCTGGAGTCACTTCAGGACGTGGCTCCATTTTGATTAGCGCATAAAAATAATAATGATTTTTATTTATTCGCTATTTTCATTTAAAAATTACTGAGAACAACAGAAGGCAAAGCCAGTAGTTGGTGAAGCAAACAGTATCTCTTTTTAAGGAAGCGTCTGTTTTCGAACGAGGTTATTGCACCAGCTGTTGTAACCTGATTAATCTCAGCTGCCCAAGTCTAGACGAATGCTGAAAAAACGTCAAGTTTCGATGCCTAACCTATCATTGTTTTCTCCATGTATGATTTTGCTTCCGTGTCATATTCTTCGATTAATCCACAATGATGCCTGATACTCTATTAAAATTTTATTCTAGCTTCTTCTAATTTGTAATTTTTCGCTCTATTAGCTCATTTAAATTCAATTCAATTCAATTCAATTCAATTTGCATGCTTTTTTGGAATAGTTTGATTTATGTTGTTTTATTGTTTCTAAAAAAACTCATTCAGTCGCTAAATCTAGTTATATATTTATATTTAAATTCTCTTTTCCTGTCAGCACATTGTATTTTGTCGAACGAGTTATATTTTTGAACAGGATTGAATATTGAATCACTTTTCAAATCTTACTATGATTTCTGGTTTTCACGGAAAATATTCGAAAACATTTGCATATTGTTTCGTTCCATGCTCCAGGTTGTAGCTCGGCTCTGTTACTCGGCTATATAAAGCCTCCGTCAAGGTCGGCACTGCAGAAGTTGTTGTGGTTCCGCAGCAGAAACATCAAGCAATGCAGTTCTCGGTGAGTTGATACTTGTACATTTTTTTGCAATATATGATATGATGTTTTGTAAAAACTAGAGAAGCCCGATGTTAGTTTTTTCAATAGTTTGTCCAATTGATAGCAAAGGAAACTTCTCATGTGCCGTTATTTTGAAAAAAATGTTAACGATTGAGGGACCTGTGTTGGAATTTTGACAGGCTGGATGCCGATAGCTTATGATGAAGCATCAACTCCATTGCACTTTGTTCAAAGTGATATGCCCTGTGGAACGAGGGAGCACTAAATAACGACATTTAGTTTAATTGCAGGAACTTGAATGTCACAATATTCAAGGTTATGTACTTGACTGCTATACTGTGTGATGTAGTACGATTTTGTCCAGTGATTATATATATTGAGTCTTGAGAACCTTGTCAATAAGAGATCGAACCCTATTGAACAATCAGTTTCTAATTAGTGAACAATATTGTTTTGGGTGCTACTTAAACTTCATCAGAATTCTCAATCAAATTCTTCTAAGAAGTTCTAACATGGAGGTAGAAGAATTATAACTTTGAATTTGATCGCTCAGATAGCGGTTAGTGACTGCACCTGCACTGCACCTGTGTACAAATGCCGCCTCTTTCTCAAGATGGCATTTTTTGCTGTGTAAAAAAATAATCTTGCGGCTAAGGGTCAACGCAGTGAGATAAAAATCTAGTCAGTTGCAGAGTATCTTAGTATCTATTCAATTAGAGTTCATAGTGTATAGACTGTTTTTTTATTCCAGACTCCTTTACACGAGCTTAAATTCACCGCACTAACTTTGTGACCTTTATGCCGACTTGATAGCAATGTTGCCACCTAAGAAAACGTCCCTCTTCTAGACAATACCGCCTTTGAGGGTTCAGGTAGCTAACGGTAGTGATAGTACAATTTGTCTACGAAAGTGATAGCATATCAATTCCGTTATGCAAGATTTATTCTTAGTAGGACTTTGCTAAACAAAACACCATATATATATCTTTCTTCGTCTGTTGGCCATATCAAAATAGATGGTCGAAATTATAACATTACTACATTTCACTACGTTGAGGAGTCTTGTAGTTTTTGACGTAAATACACCTTGATTGTAAATGTTGACTATTCTGCGCCCTAGAAAATCGAAAGCTTTATAATTCTGGTGTTTTTATAGTTAAATATATGAAAAATTTCCTTAATTGAGCCTTACATTCGTGTCTTTTGATTGGTCGCTTGATGAACGCAGCGCCGACAAATTATGAACGGCTTCAACATTTTTGCTATTCCGACGCCAGACGTGTCGGGATAACTAAAATAGCTTACTACTTGTTGGTTGTTCGATCACCAGACATGTGGGCTACACCATGTTAGCTATTCGGCCACCAGACATGTTGACTACAACATGTAGGCTATTCCGTCACCAGACACGTGGACTACATCATGTTGGCTGTCCCGTCACCAGACATGTAAACTCCAACATATCAACCCTGACCTCTACTCACTGTACCCAGCTTCCATTGGCTCGTAGACTCATCTCCCATCTTAACTCCTTCCCATGCAGCGAATCTATAGAGACAACTTATTGATTGCGAAATTAATGTACGGATTGCACGATTCAATGACAGATTTGCCCAACTTGGATGTGTTCAGACATTGTTTATTCAGGTCGTGATTTGTAGAAATTTAGCGATTTATGCGTTTTTGAAGATCATCGTCGGAGCATGAGGTTGAAAATATTCCAGTCCACTTCATTTAAAAACAATTTCTTGTGTTAATTTTTCCTTATGATGAAAATTTCTCCTAATGAGTTTTTGCCTTATGATGAAAAATTTTCCTAATGAGTTCTTCAATTGATTTAAATCACGATTTTATGCCAGAGTTGTGTAAATTGTTCTAACATTCACAGCCGATAGAACGAATAAACCAAGACTTCCCCGATACCGCGAGAAATGAGCGCGCGAACTGCAGATACGTCGACCGCCAGAGGGCGTTTAGATGATTTCATTACCACCGCGACGCAGTTTTACATAATGTAGCGTATACTCTTTGTCTGCGTAGCCTTGAACGTTGTGCTCTTTACGCAACTCTAAGTCACACTTTTAAACGTTCATAAATGCTATTCACCTTGAATTGTGTACCTTTGAATTGTTTTGTGAAGAACTCGCAACGTGTCAAGCCAGCGTGACAATGATTGGCGATATTTTCATTTCCTATAGATACGCACATCATCCCTACGTTCTTGAATGTTATATAACTTATATTGTTATTCTCTCTGTAGTATCGCAGGATCAATTAAAAATTTATCATTAACTCGCATCATTGATGGCATATCGACAGCATATCGACGTGTTTATATAACCCGGTCACAATTTCATGATTTTACTGTTAAATTTCATGTGATGTCATTAACGACTCATCATATAGAAACGCTTGAGATTAATCATGGGTTTACGAAACGTCTGATAAAGCATGGTAAAGCTCATGTGACGTCCTGCTCGTAATTACTTCCTCATGCATTTTTATTTCTATGTAGCAATAATCATCAACTTTCTCTTCTAATGATCGAGTTTCCGTTGTGCGACAAATTGTAACTTTGGGACGAGTTCAGCTGCTTTTGATTAATGCTCGCACCATCTAAATCAAGTCAATTAACAGTATGTAGTTAATTCTCCCTTCGTCATGGTCGTTCATTCTTCATGTTCTTTCATTACAGAACATGATTCAGGAACACTGTTTTGAACACTCGCCATTGCATTGTAATATTTTCTGTCACAAATATGAGGCGATCGCGTTCTATGAAGAGAATGCGAGGTTCGTTGTGGCGAGCATGCTAGGCTGGGACCGCAGGGCAAGGTCTTCAACCTTCTTGCAGGTTAAGCAGTGAAGGCAAGAAGTCCTTCGTTAAATATAGTGACACTGTCAAGGCCTGTCTGCTACACGCGTACGTAGGGGCCTCGCACGCGCTGTTTCAAGCCGCGCCGCTTACTCCAGCCAACCTAACGAATGCAGCGATAGATCATACTAAAGTCATCGTTATACTCATCACGTACGAGGCGGACAATTTTCTGCTTATGAAATATAATTGTTGTGTCTTTAAATGGTCTGTCTGGCTGATATCGCAAGTCTGGTTTGTTTTTCAACACAATATGGTACGATTGGGTGACTGCTCTAACAATGAAACTTTGAAGTAGTCGCGTCGAGACAAGTGAATTTAAAGATTGGCCGCATTTGCTGCCCCGATACTCGTCTTGCACAACGTTTTCAGAATTAAAGGAAACATTTATTCGCGTGCAGTCTATTGCAGAGTAACCTCTATTAACACTGCTAATGAATAAGTTACTCACTTTTCGTGATGATCAAATTCGCCTTGAATTTACAAATCGCTTTGTAAAAGAGACGTTCAAAAACTTTTCATTGTTACAGTCAATATTTATGTGAATGAAGTGCTCTGAGTAATTTATAAGCAATTAACAACGAGCCCTGTTGAATGATGGTTCCTCATCAAGAGCAAACACACGGTGCGTGAAGAGCTTCTTTTTCACTCATCTCTCCCCATAGTTTGGGTGAAAGTCTCAATATGAGTGATCAGGTCAAGCCACGGGTCGATGACCCTCAGGAGTGGAAAATACCTTGCAAGTCACTCACCTTTGCCGCCCTCCGGCGCTGAGTGGGATGCAGGCTTGTACCAGCCCGTCCAGCCGAGCCCTGAGTGGGATGCAGGCTTGTACCAGCCCGTCCAGCCGAGCCCTGAGTGGGATACAGGCTTGTACCAGCCTGTCCAGCCGAGCCCTGAGTGGGATGCAGGCTTATACCAGCCAGTCCAGCCGAGCCCTGAGTGGGATGCACGCTTGTAGTCTTGTACCAGCACCTCCAGTCCAGTCGAACCCTGAGTGGAACACATGCTTACGCAAGCCGCTAGCCTATCCAGCTGAGTTGGATACTGCATGCTTACGCAAGCCCGTCCAGCCGAGCCCTGAGTGGGATGTGTATTTGCAAATGCCCGTCCATCTTCGAAGAGTGGTGCACTGGGACAGCCACCTTGACATCTGCGATGGCTCGACTCAAACCTGACCTTTAAACGCGATAACAATAGCAGCATTTAGTGCTGCATTTAGACGTGATTTTCTCGGATTATGATGTAAACGAGACGGATTTTTCATGACTGAAGCCATTTGATGCAACGTCCAATTGGTGTTAATTGGGAGAATTTCGAAATTCATGCGCTTTTAAAGTTGAAATTTTCTCGTTTCATCTCTAAGTAATCACGCTCTGTGATAATAGTTATGATGGAAAGGGCGAATCAATTTAGTAAATGTCTCGCATCATGGGAGAAGTTGGAAATGTTGTTGGATAATCATTGTTTTCATGTTTTCATTCTCAAAAGTGCTCTTCTAATTCGAAGTATGGTAATTAATAATACCTTTCACCAGGATCTATCTTTGTAGATACACAATGCTCATTGATAGGAAACTCACCTGGACCAACTTTTTGCGAGATCATATCAAGGTGTGTGTGTGTAATCATCAATGGAGGAAAACTCATATTCCAGAGCCGATGATTCACCTATTCTGTACAATTTTAAAGGTTTCAAGTGGTTTTGTCGATTTTTATTTATTTAGTTTGTGCAGTTACAGACTTGGCTGCCTATTTCTTGAGTTTCTCAACTGTTAGCAGTTTGCTTAACATATGCGTCTGGCGGCTTTTGAAATTTCCGTGATTCGCAATCATGACCGAGGTTTGCTGGCGTGAGTCGGCTACTCGCACTGTCGGCCGTTGTGATCGCTCATCACGTCAGGTTTCATCTTGCCGTGCGAGGTAAAGAAGTCTGTGACTGGTTTAAAATATTTTAAGGTATTTAATGATGTAATTTCGTTGCACACATCTTAATTGATTAATTGATGAATAATAATTGTAAAGCCAGTCTCTATCGAGATTACATTCGCCTAAAGTATATTCAATCCACGCAATGACGAATGCTTTACAATAATATGGCCCCTGTTAAATCAATAGTGGAAAAGACATGTCTTTTCAACAATAGTTTACAGGTATGCCTAAAGATACCTGTATTTATGTTGCCCTCGCGTGGAAAAATTTATCAATTAGAGCAAAGCATCTAATATCCCTAATATTGTCCAACCATAGACTTATGAAAACAGTAAATAAAAACTGAGTGCATGATATCAAAAGAAAGCACAAGAAATGCGACTTTAAAATTCACTGAAGGGCTGTGTGGAGTGGCCCAAGTTTCGATGGCAAAAAAACACTGGTGATCTCGCGCGACTTTCACTGCTTACGGTGTTGGCGCGTGAGTAAACGAGCGTGACTCTAACATGCACGCTAATTTATTCAGGTCGAAAGTTTGATCTTCGACTCGTTTTTCAATCCATTGGCGAGTCGCTAGTACACAGAGAGAGAAAGCCGTCATGTTGCAGAAGCAAATTTATTCCTGTACGTGGAGTTGAGTCTTGATTACAACAGAGCACGCAGTCTTCAATGAACGATAGCAACTGAAACTATTAAGTACAAAATTAAACATTAAATGTTCATTTAAATAACTAGATACCTGTATACTATGATGTGAATTTCCTACTAAGGCGATGAGAGTAAAGTTCTGCTCGTGAAAGTATTATATCGGTCATGAAAATCAAGTACATTCACTTATTGCATTTCATACATACGAGTTAAAAAATGAAGTATGATGTCATCGGCCCGTGTGTCTATTATAAAGAGATAACATCTGACGCTTGAAGCCATGACTATAACTGAAACTCTTCTATTTACGAAAGAGATGGTAGTTCGTGAGGTTTAGGGACTTTACACGAGCGAGATCTAAATAAAGAGCTGCAACACTCTCGTTATGACGTAAGAGATCATGCAGTACGTTACTTGCGTAACCATATACGCTATATTGACAAACTTGCTGAAATGCTCCGCCGCTCCATGTGTGCAAGTTGAAAATCCACACTCGTACGTCTATTCATTTCCAGCCACGAATTGATGATTGATGAGTAGTGATCACTCAAGAAATGAAGACAGTTGAGATTCTGAATTTGCTGATATTTTAGCAACGACGAAAATATTTGGATGCTACGTTCCTTATGTGTTCAAGGCACAACTAAAACTGTGGATGAAATATTGTTCAAAGCATACAAACGTGACTTTAGTTAACTGAATTGGTTGCAGATTCGGTAATGATACGTATAATTTGTAGCAACTCTGTGAAAATTCGAAAGCTAAGTTCAATATTGTATTTGAGAACGGCATGTATGACTCGATCTGCGGTTAATTATTATTAGAGACAAATTAGCGAGACTTGATTTTTGGAAATAAATTTGGCGTGAAATAACTCGGTGAGATAATTAAGCACCAACCTACAAAATTGATACAAGCTGCCGTGCGACACGAAATTACATGTGCAGTCCCGCGTATGATAACATTTTGAATTGTGGACATAATCACTGCGATTCCATGTTTATCTCGTCCAAAGTATTGAATGCGATTTTTAAAAGACTCTTTAAAGCTTCTTGTCCACACAGATCTCTCAAAGCACTAATCATTGAAGTCATCGTACATATTTACACGAACAAAGCAAATGCTTGCAAAGAATTTCTTTTAAGCAGCATGTTTTCACGGGTTTTATAGATAGCAGTTAATTTGCCAACATGTAGACCCGGGGTGAACTCAGATACGCGGGTATACTCTGTAAAAAAATACGCGTGTACACCCTGTACACAAAATTCGCAGGGGAACACCCTGTACACAAAATACGCGTGTACACCCTGTACACAAAATACGCGTGTACACTCTGTATCCCAAAACCGTCTTAATTGGGGTTAAAAGCAAACATTCTGCCAACAAGCTGATTGTTCAAGACAAACTCACACAGTTGTGTGAAGGATGAACTTAATGTCAACGAAGTCACTCAGTGTTGCTGGTAGAATTATGGTTTTAATACACATTCTTGATTAGTCAACGTAAACTGATTTGAATAATTGATTGACTTGTACGATGAATTATCAAAAAAAATATTGTCAGGGCTTAAAAGTTATTTAAGGAGTAGCTCATTGATATAAATGATTTGTTGCAGGCGGTGTCAATATTATTGGCTTTAGACGAAAAAATGCATTCTATTGTAGTAGTCACATCAATTATAATAATATCGGGATAACTCTTGGTCTCAGAGCTATAAATGCAGTGAAGCGTCCGCTTTTCCTCCCGGTAATCAGCAGGACGTTTCGCAAGCTCTGGAGAGGGAAAGCCGTACGCTGGACTCGGCGTATGAAGGAGGATGCGGCAAGGCTTTCAAGGCTGCAGAGTGAGAAATGCTAATGCGGGTCACACGAATATGCTCGAGAATATCATGAATATAATATCATTCATATGGTTCTCCTTTATTATTAATGCAGATTTGAGCGATGTCCAGCATTGACGTTGCGAACATTTATACGTTAAAAACGTCAGGAACGTTATGAGGAACGGTACGTGTTTCTTCTTATGGGGACCGTTTCGGCCTTTTGAAAAAAAACTTTTTCATTTACGAACAGATCGTTTTGAAACTTGGTACACATATGTAAAACGGAAATCTAAGAACTTTTTGTACGTGTAAATTTTCCAAAAAACTGAAAAAAACGTGAAATTGATAGAAAACGGTGAAAAAAAGGGGTACTCTAAAAATGTATCTCCTCCTACAAATATCGTGCTACAACATCGAAACACGTATCATTCGATTGGTAACGACCATATATAAAATCCATCCGGTCATTTTTTTGAATTTTTGGATGAATTTTTTTGAATTTTTTTGAATTTCAAATTGAATTCCCCTCCCCCCACTTGCTGAAATTCAATTTTCCCAAAAAAATCAAATTTCCCCCTCCTCCGCCCCCCCTTTTTGCAAAATATAATCCAAACTATAACGAAATCGAAAAAATTACCGGATGGTTTCCAAAGATTTTATTTACGAATCGAATGGTATATGTCTCATCGCTGTAGCTTCAAAACTCTATAGGAGGAGATAGGTTTTCCGTGACAATAACTGTGAATGTTCAGGAGAGCGCGACAAAGTCCCGCCCGCATCGCAATAGGCACTCAATGTAGCAAGGATACGAAACTAAACGTTTCTGGAGCTTGAATCCACTCAAGGGTGGTGGGAGCGACTACACGCGCACCTCCTCATACAACGCCAGGCGAGTTACTGAGCTGCACCTCAAGAAAACACTGTATTTATGTAGTGCTGGGCAGCGAATTAGCTCCTATCTAATTTGTTAAAGAACTCCCCCAGCCCCCCTTTCATGAACTGTAGGGAACGCATAAATCAACGCACATAGATGGTAATGGTACCGTTGGATAGGGCAGAATGTCAGCTTTAAGATGAGACTAAACGGGCAACTGAAGCGCAATTCAAGTAGATACTAAATTTAAAGTGCTCAGCAGCTAATTAACTCCTATCTAAAAAGAATTAACTCCTCCACCCGCCCCCTTTCATGATCTGTCGTGAAAGCAAATCAACGTACAGAGATGGCAATGGTACCGTTGGATAGGGCAGAATGTCAGCTTTAAGATGAGAGTAAAAACCGGAAAAGCCAAAATTTTCTATTTTTGACCGAAACGGTCCGTTTAAAGGTCATCCTAAGTGTCATCTAGTGTGTAATTTGATGAGGCATCTAAATATTAGTGGACCGGTGATAACTCATGGACCGGTGGCAAATTAAGGACCGGTGATAACTCATGGATAATGTCTTCTAATACATTGTATTTACATTGCCACTCCATATCTCGACGACGCAGGTGCAACTCATTCCAGTGCAAGGCGGGTGGGCCGAAATTGCCTCGTCATTTCTTGACCATGAAGCTGCAGACGCAGCCCCATTAATATTACAGACCATGATAAACAAAGGAAGAGTTCTGAATATTTTATGCTCACGTTCATTAAAGTGTGCCTACGTATGCTATCATCTGCGCATTTATCACGTCGCGTGAAGAATAACACGACGGCATTTGCCGTTATTATGTTCTAAGGCCGCTGGGTAATCGTGCTTGGTCACTGAAAAAATAATGACAGCTGATTTTGGAGTAATATATGTACAATACATTTAAATATTGCAGATTTTCACCGCCAACTAATAATACCAATATACTAACATTATTCTCCACGTTGTAAATTTTCCCAGAAAGTCCAACAGTTTATATTATCTATGTAATTAATATACTTCGTATCTTGCGCAGGTGTGCCTAATGCTTACGTTGGTTGCGGCAGCGGCGGCTGCTCCTGCGTATCCAAAAAAATATGATCCACTCGTCCACGGTCCTAAACGTACGCCGATCCACAAGGAATTGAAGGGAAAGTTCCAGGAACCCCTGAAGACGCCTGAAGTAAATTCCTACGATGGATTTGAAGGAGCCTTCGAGGTTCCTCTTCAGCCACCTGCAGAGTACCCATACCTTCGTGCTGATGGCCAAGCTCACGGGGACATTTCTCCTCCTCCTTCCAGCGACGACACATCCTCAACCACGAGCAGTTACCTCGTGTACGACAAGGAGGAAGAGATGCTACCTTTTGTTCCACCTCCGGTCTCCAGCTATGCCATCATCCCTGCGTCTAATGACGGTGCGGATGCCATGTCATTCCTTAGGTTCTTGGTCAGGGCGCTGCCCAAAGATTCTTCGTACAGCAAGTACAGCGCTGATCCCGAACCTGAAGATCTGAACCCTCCAGACCAGCACCCTGAGTCGTCATACTTGGCATACGGCGATGCGACCAAAGCTGACACAATTATGGCTCCCAGCACTGAACACAAGAAAGAGAAAACAGTTTCGTCTTATTCCTCTTATGAATAGAAATCAATAAAGCTTGACATGCACATATTTCTCGGTAATTAGCATCAAAAACCAAAGTTAAGTTCAAGTTTATGTGTAAATAATTAAGAGAACCAAGAATAGTGACAAGAGATACTAAGTATAACTAATGTAAGAAAATTTTTGCTGACAAAGCTAAATTATCTGCTTTCTAAAGTGCACATCGTCATTTGTAATTAATTCAAGTAGGTACACTGTAACTGTCAATTCTGCAGGATAATGCAAATTCGATCACAAATATTGAGTTTCAAGTTTTTGAGCTCTGTAACGAAGAATCATAATATAGTAGGTGTTGAGAATTTGGTTTCTATATTAAATTTTCACAGTCGTAAGTTGTAAATATGTCAATTTTTATAATGCAACATTTCCTTTTTCTCCTTACTACACACAATGATTTTCTATAAGAGAAAATCTTAAATTAACAGCTTTAACAAATTATAATATTTTCTCAATATTTTTCTGTTGATTGATCAGAATTATGAAAATGAATCAGATTGCGTAAAAATTTATCATTTTATAATCTATTGATTTCAGTTAATACCTGCACCATCACTGCAGAAGCATGCTCATGAAAGGGATTATTCAAACATAGCACTTGTTGATAAGGGCGCGCTTGAAAATAATTTCATGTAAATTTATTGACAAAAACATCCACGTTGAATAATGATGGACCGTGATAGAAAGCTAAAAGTTTTATTTGTGCATTAAATCCTTGCATAAAGTTTATAGCTATCCTTATGTCAGGTATAACATGTTCTTGTTCATTCATTCACCGGTATCGAACATCGATTACAGCTCGTCAGTGCCTATAAATATAATATATAATGAGAATACGTGATAATGGTAAGAATTATTGACATTAATCTCTGAGTATAAGGAATGTCAAGCGTGTGATTAAGTACAAGTTGTGCATAAGAAACAATGTTTTATTTATTTCGTTTCCCTTATTTTCTGATTGCTACTACACTCCGTTGCTCTGAGAAAGATGTTCAGTATTACGTTCATCAACTTATTTCTTCTACATCGTGACCAATTTAAAATGATACGCATTATAGTTTTGTTTTCATGCTATTTTGCTACTACTTGATTTCAAAGACTAAAATGTTGCATACAAGATAGCAACATAATGATAGTGGTTTGCATAAGCTATGCAAGTCAGGACCTCCTAGTATGACTGGATCATTTGTCTGATTGGCCTCTCAAAACTCTGATAACAATTTAAAACTCTTATAACAATCCTCATCACTTGCCTTTAAAGTGCAACGAATAAACTTCTGCTATACATACACGAACAATTAGTTAATAGAATAACAGTAGTTATTCTGTTTCACCAAAACACGACAGTAAGCTCTCGACAACCGTTTAGAATCGCGTCTAAAATCGAATACACCCTCTTCTGGTCGTTTATAATGGAAAAACTTGCCCCCAGTGCTTGATGGAATGATGGACAACCCTGCCCCCAGTGCTTGATGGAATGATGGACAACCCTGCCCCCAGTGCTTGATGGAATGATGGACAACCCTGCCCCCAGTGCTTGATGGAATGATGGAACACCCTGCCCCCAGTGCTTGATGGAATGATGGACAAAGCTGCCCCCAATGCTTGATGGAATGGACCCCTGTGCTTGATGGAATGATGGACAGCCCTGCTCCCAGTGCTTGATGGAATGATGGACAGCCCTGCCCCCAGTGCTTGATGGAATGATGGGCACCGCTGCCCCCAGTGCTTGATGGAATGATGGGCTCGCCTGCCCCCAGTGCTTGATGGAATGATGGGCACCGCTGCCCCCAGTGCTTGATGGAATGATGGACAACCCTGCCCCCAGTGCTTGATGGTGTGATAGACAAGCCTGCCCATCATCGTTAACATATATACCATTACCGACTTCTTTACCGGAGACATCCCAGAATGTCAGGGTTATTTGACAATGTTGCCGATGTATAAAATTTTGGGGTTCACCCATTGAATTCATAGTCCTAAATTAAAATATTCAAATTTATAATTTTTTATTATCATCCCAGGAACGGTGGTTGTTTTTTTTGGGGGGGGGGATTTCTCCTTTTTCGGGTTCGTATTTTATATATTAATTTAGCTTCCTATCGAATAAGTTTTTTTAAAAGTTCATAGAATATTTAGATTTTTACGGCAATTTCTTATCAAAATTCATGAGATTGAGCAGTGAATGCGTTTTTAAGCAGCTATGTAATCCTTATGTTAACTGTGATGAGATTGCTCATTAAGGGGAGGGTCTCGGTCGAAAAATCGAAGTGTCTCGAATCGAATAAATAAATATTCTGTCTTTTTAGGTTCATTTTAAAGCACAGAAAAATGCGCAACAAACTACAGCAAATTCGTCTATGTGCGTTTATTTCTTCGCTCGCCACAGCTGTTGAAGAGCAAGTAAAACCTATACTTTCGGAGATCACAAATTTCAGTTTTTTGGCTTTCCTGAAAAGTTTATATTTTCATCTTTAAAATCTTTTATTTTTCATCTCTTTCTTTGATTATCAAGCTACAGCATTGAGAGATATAACATTTGATTCGTAAAGAAAAAACGTAGAGAATGGTCTTAGTTTTTTTTAATTTCGTTATAGTTCGCATTATATTTTGCAAAAAGGGGGAGGAAAATCGAAAAACTGACGAAAACTCCCCCCCCTCTACCCACAAAAATAAGAATTTAGAAAAAAAGCGAGCTCGAATCGCTAGATATGGTCTTTGCGCATCGAATGATATATATATCGATGTTGTAGCTTGAAAATCCTAGGAGGATATAGATTTCTACAGTACCCCTTTTTCGCCGTTTTCTATGAATTTCATGTTTTATTTCATTTTTTCTAAAAATTTACATGAACAAAAAAGTCTTAGATTTCTGTTCCACAAATGTGTACCAAGTCTTAAAGTGATCCGTCCGTAAAATATAACTTATTTTTTGACCGAGACGCTTTCTTAATAGCCCCAAACATATTTGCAGGCATTCAAAGTGCCTGTGGCTCATTGATTACTGCTCTCAAATAAAAAGCATAACCATTGCACTAATAATTTCAAATAAATAGTATAGTGATTGTTGAAGAAACATAAGTGGATCAAACGTGATCGATGAATTAGATCTCGAATTCGTATTCACAATTTTGAGGTAGAACGTTACTATAAATAAATCCAGAATTAGGTTTTCCATAAATTATTTAAATACTACATCATATTTAAATAAATTCTTCAGTACTATGGATTTCAAAATTGTTAGGTCATCTTCTGGTACTTATTTCTGTTTCAAAACAAAGGAGCGTTTAGTTAATTAGTCGAGAATATAATTTACTGCAACTAAATAATTGGAAACATATATACGGTTTTCTGGCTTTTAGTAATTTGGGCAGTTTTCGCAATATATTTTGTCAAAACTCTTATTCCTACTGAATGGATGCATTAACCAACTTCACGTCACCATTCAGTGATGTCGCATAGATACGCTGCTACGAGATGCAATCGGTTGCAATCTCTTCGTCAGCGTTCAAAATTATTTAGTATTCCTTAGAATAAGGCCAATGAACTCATTACTGCACGAGAGTGATTATCTGATGAGCAAAAGTACTGAGCACTTCAAAATAAATTTCTTTCAACACTTCATTTCGAGGTATAACTAAATAATTTATCGCCTGGTAGGGATGCGCATGCATTTTATGAGGTTTGACTTGACCGATTCGTTCGTACAAACTGGATAGTGAAAGAAATTAAAAGGAGGCAATATTCACACTGATGTGGGCGAAATGTATGGGTGAATATTGAGGGAATATCCCTCGATAATGTATGGGTGAAATGGGCCCAGTGGAGCGATACTTTTTCAAATCGACGCCGAATTAACCTCTCACTCCAGATATGAAGAAATTGACATCAAATATTTGTACACACTTCGAAAAAATTCCGTACAGTAGTTACAATTTTCAAAAACTCAAGAAGGATATTTAACAAATGATTTTTTAAGTAGATATTGATTAGCAGAATTCATGGAATACGTTTTCTTCATTAAACTACTTCAGGCTCAAATTTATCACCGTTCAGAATCGGACTAAAGTCATGCCGTACAAATGAAAGCTTTAAAAATTCATCAAACCATTGAAATGTGTTAGGCCTGCATTTCTAATCGAGTTAGCCCTAAAAAATTTTTATTTTCGGCGCATAAAACGAAACCTTCGAACCTAAACTAAAAAATTACTCCTCAATTTGCCATGATACAATATAAAGTCTCTGTGAAATTTCGTTTTCTATAAGTCCTGAATATTTTCTTAGTGAAAATTGGAGGTACTACCTAAGTAATTGTTACGTAGAAATGGAAACTCCCAATATTTTCGATCAAAAATGATATATTACATATATAGTTTGATTTATCATTCAAAATATTGGTTTTCGTTTCTATTCTTTGAATGAACATATACAAAAGATTGGTTTAAGATTTTATCATCGCGCTTTATTCGCACCAACAATCCACTACACTCGTGGCTATTAATCCTACACGAGTGAAGTTGGACGTCTCGAACAATTTTAGGGTCGGTCTCTGAAACTCTCTCCGGTCTTCACAGTTTTACCGCCGGTCTCTAAAACCTTATCCGGTCTCCACAATTTTACGGCCGGTCTCTAAAACCTTTTCCGGTCTCCACAATTTTACGGCCGGTCTCTAAAACTTTCTCCGGTCTCCACAATTTTACGGCCGGTCTCTAAAACTTTCTCCGGTCTCCACAATTTTACGGCCGGTCTCTAAAACTTTTTCCGGTCTCCACAGTTTTACCGCTGTCTCTTATACACATCTAGATGTGTATAAGAGACAGGCGCCAGATGGTAAATAATGGCAGAAAATTATTTATCGTATAGAAAACACCAGTTGAGGGCTCAATTCTCAACCAGTATTTTATGTTGTAACTTGTAAAGTAATCAGTTTTTACTCAGAATTTTTTTCCCGGCGGCTGGTAACCGATAAATGCCGTCCCATCTTGTATTTCTTTTAATTGATGGTCATTTTCCTTGCAGTTCTTCCGCTCAATATTTTTTCCTTCCGTTTTATGACCCTTCAGAATTTCTCTGTGTAAACTTTGAAAGTCGTTTTCTGTTTGAGCAACATTTGTCAAAATAAATTAACTTACTCCATTCAATATTCATTTCAAATAAATACGATGATGATTAATAC